TGCTTCTTCAACTTCTCAGGTTTAATCAACTAAATGGCAGCTGGCAAGAGAAGTAAAATGAAAAAAAAGTTAACATCTATCTATCTATTTTGTTATTGTTAATTTGTTATGTTACCTTGCATGTAATGTTTTTGACAAAGGAAATGAAGATAACATGTAGTACTCAATATTTATCTTCCTCTATTGAATCATAAATTTTTAGCAAAAATACTTTATTAGAAATTCTGATTTTTGCTGTACAAAAGACTTGTAATGTTTACTGAAAACCTGCCAAATTTAGTGAAGATACATAAATTGTATTGTATCATATCGGATGATGTGTTGATACCATCATATCATGGCTTCATGATATCATATCACTGTATCACCACACCTTTGCTAAACAGGATTAACTTTGAAAGTTTAGTTTTTATCTATAAGTTTTTTTTTTAAAGAGCCTCAAGTTCACCTAGTAAAGCCAAAAGCTCAGCAAAAAATACAAAATTTAATCTTAAAGATCATTAAGATTATAGTTAGGCTTAGCATTGGGGTTGTAGTCATTATAAATTAGATTGTTCAATTAACTCTTCCAGATGAAAGGGACATCACTGATATTCCATTCTTTCTGCTCTCAAGAAAACATTGGGGTTGTAGTCATTATAAATTAGATTGTTCAATTAACTCTTCCAGATGAAAGGGACATCACTGATATTCCATTCTTTCTGCTCTCAAGAAAACATTGGGGTTGTAGTCATTATAAATTAGATTGTTCAATTAACTCTTCCAGATGAAAGGGACATCACTGATATTCCATTCTTTCTGCTCTCAAGAAAACATTGGGGTTGTAGTCATTATAAATTAGATTGTTCAATTAACTCTTCCAGATGAAAGGGACATCACTGATATTCCATTCTTTCTGCTCTCAAGGTCAAAATACTTAACTAAATTGCAGTAAACTTGCAAAAGTTTTCTAAAGCATGTCTAGTTTCTGTGGGCAAAAAAAAATCATAAAACTTTAGTTGTGAAGTGTCCAAAGTTTTGTAGTGAAACATTGTTGACTCTCTGCTATAAATTATACAAACTTAATTTTGGTTTGGTTAAGCACAGAACTACACAATAGGATATCTTTATTCTTCCCACCATAAGTATCAAAACCCAAATTTTAGCATTGTAAGCCTGCAGACTTGCAACTGAGCCATTAGGGGGCCACAAGCTTAATTAATATCATCATATGATTGTTTCTTTCAGTACAAAGCTACACAATGGGCTATCTGAGGTTTGTCAACTACAGATACATGAACCTCAGATTTTAGTGTTGAAAATATATGAGCTTACCGCTGACCCACAATGGGGAAAGCATCATATGATAGAAAAGATTTACCAGTAAACAATGACCATATAGTGACACATTACCTATGTCAGGCAATGTAATGTGGTGTTTTAGAAATACTGTTGGTTATGATCAATTTATATTCAGTACTAATGTGTTTTCAATAAGTATGAAAATAAATAAGGAATTATTGTATCTATATATGTTGTTTGAACATAACAGACTTTAAAATTATAGTTAAAAAGAGGATTCATGTCATCCAAACAGTTTGCCATCACAGTCCACAACTTACCATACTTGTTAAATCGCAATACCCTAACCTGATACCTTGCCAAAATAAAATATGCCTGTAGTTTTCAAAAGGATAAAACACAATCATTATTAAGAATGAAAAAAAGCATCTTCAGAAATATAGAAAAATATCCTCAACCCACAAGTAATTTAGAACATTTTAAAACTTTGGGTTACCTCATTACCCCCGACTGCACCTAATTCACCATTTTCATATACTAACTAATTTGTACTATTGAAATTTAGGTAACATAGCATTAAAAATCTGCATCTCCACCTTCAAATGATTATAGGCTTTAGACTCTATTCCTTTTCAAAGTAACCAATTAAAATTCACAAAGCTCCTCCAGGTTATATAATAAATATAGGTTCAAACAATACATTTACAATTGATGATTGTGAAGCTAACCAAAAGTGCTGAAATGTGATTGGAAGTTTAAAAGCCAACAAAAATACTCAAAATATAATCTAGAGATATGTTGTTTACAGTTCAGATACCTTGAGCTACAATAGAAATGAAAGTCTGAACATATTATTCATTATTTTTTTATGCATGAAATCAACAAGACCTGCATCATTTAATGCTAAAAAAAATGATAAAATAGAATTACAGTCTTTAATTAAATGTTGAAAGTTGATTTGAGAATGTGCTTTTGGAGTGACCTGATCATCCACCAGTCAGGAAAGGGTTAAAAAGTTATTCATACTGTACATAAACAAAAAACAATTACATTTCCAAGAATTGAATATGTATTATGTATGACTGGTGATCATGAACTTGTGAAAGAAAGCATTACAGTACAATATGCCAAGTGGCATAATGTTAAAGTCATTACCATTGTAAATGCTTAGAAGGCATGAAGCTTATAATATCAAAAATTTTTCTTTCAGTACATTTCTTATAAAAAAAGATTCTAGATAAATGAAATATAGAAAACTGTAATACAGTAACTACTAACCTTAAGTCCATGAATACAATTAATATTACTCAAAATTGTCTATCTCCTGTGACATTACCTTCAATTGTTGCAAACTACAACCCCACTAGTGCCCCACTTTAACTTATCAAACCCTGAAGTGAGCAATCACTTAATTTGGTGTCTCCTTTTGCACCCAAGAGTGAATAATTTATGATCCATACTTGCCTTTTTTTAAACCATATAGGAAACAAACACTTGGCCTGCCATTTGTATAACCTGGACTGAAGAATGAATGATGTGGTCAGCCCTTTTCAAACACTAAACTGAACAATTAATGACCTGGCCTATCTTTTTTATATGATAAACAGAAGAAATGATAACCTAACTTGCTTACTGCAAACCTACAGTGAACAATTATTGACTTAAGCCTAACTTTTTTTTTTACACCACTGACTACACAGCAAATAGTCAGACTTGCCCTTTTCAAATCAATGGGTGAAAAAATGAAAGACTTAGACTATATTTTTCAAACCTCAGAATGATTATATAATGACATAGCTTATCATTTTCAAATGACAGATAGAAGAATTAGTGTCCTAGATTTCCAACATCAAACCTTCAAATAATTAATTATCTAGTTTACTCTTTTCAAATGCTACACTGAATACAAAAAATAAGGTGTAAATTTTTGAACTGACAATCTCACAGAGATACGAGTAAAAAAGGTAAAACAAAAATACACTCATTACTTGAACCATTCTATGAGGTGAGCTGCATGACCACCATGTCGACATGTCTGGCACCAAGTAAACCAACTAGAAAATTTTGTAAGCTTGTTTTCAACTTTATCTGCAATAAATAACAATTCCTTTCAATACATTTGTTATATCTAAAGACAATAGTTTAGCTAGTGAAATCAGAGCCATTTGCAAAGGGTAACTTCAATAAAATGAAAAACTTCATATGGTTGGTTGGTCTTAAAATTTAATATTTACAAGACAAAAGAATAAACTGATAATCAGAATTCAAGAAAAAAGAAAATCAAAAAAAGAAGCGATTAAGGATTTAACGTCATTATACCATTATAACTATACAAAACAAAATCAACTTCACTAGCTTTAAATAACCAGTGGAATAAGATATATTTTCATATTATATTAGTAAGATAGTCAAGATATCATATGGCAATGAATAAAAAAAGTTTTTGTTTTCATTGAAGGGACTAAAGCTATTTTATATTTGTTATATTAATTTTTATTAAATAAAATCTTCTGAATTTTAAAATTTGAAATCATCATCAGTATTTATGAATGTTGAAGTTTCGTTTTGTAATTCTTTAACTGACGAAAACAATTATTCAATAAGTGCAGTTTTGAATTTATTAAACTATATATATCAGCCTAATGTTTATGAATTTAACAAAACTGGCATAATGTAACAGAACAATACTAGTTAAAAAAAACAAAATACCTAATCTCTGTTCAGAACCTTTGTTCCAGTAGACGCCTGCTGGAGTTCCCATGTTTGTCAAACACAGAGCACATCGTGGAAGTGGCTTTCTGCACCCAGGACAGCTGGTCATCTAAATATCAAACATAAAAAGGTTGACTGTAGTGTAAAAAAAATGTTATAATTAGAAACAGTCATTAAAGCTATAGAACACTAACAAATGGTCAGTAATACAGAATTAAGTAATACTTTTTTGGTATAACCACACTGCTCACGTATCTGACAATCTAGAAACAAAGAGTAAAGATTTTTTTGTAAAATTAAAGGATAACTTGAAAACAAACTCTAAAATAGTAAAAGAACTTGACAAATTGCTGTAATTCAATTTCATTTTTAATTTACCAGCTAACTTATTTTAAACAAGTAAATTCTTGGAGCAAAACTAATGAATGTATTAAAGAAAAATTAAAACAATACTATTAAAACAGAATAACAGCAACAAGTGTTTACTTAAATTTCAACTGTTTCCCCCAAACAAAAGCTTTGAAAAAATCCTATTATTATTTTTCCTGCTAAGACAAGAAGATATCATTGACTGAATGGAGAAACTGTGACTAAAAGTATTCCTCCAAACAAATTAAGGCGGAACAAACTAAATAGGTAAGAATCTATTATAACATAAAAATAACTCTGTGGGGAGAATATACAAGCATATAATTAAATAACCACTTAAACATGCTAAGCAGCAGAGCTCAAGAAAGTTAGCTTATCACTAATCACTCACTGCTGTATTTAATTACAAAAAAGTAAGAGAGTGGAACTAATCATACATGGGAAAAGTAAAAATATATTATTTACCATATCATTAAAGTTAAAACTACAATTGACTAAAATTATTAAACACAGCAATTGTTGAAGAAAATCAATTTTAATAGTACAAAATATTTTTTTTTTTGTGAGATATCTTGAGTCTCCAAGTACAATAAAACATTTACTCAAAAATCTATAAAGATATAAACCTGACACTCGGCCATCTCATGCACTCTACATGTTTTGACATTTGACTGCATCATCATGAGTGCAATATTTCAAAAAAAGGTAAGAGCTATATATCTTACTAAATAATCACATGCTCAAAACCAAATTTATAAATTTATCATTATACAATAGATTATCAAGTAAATGTTTTATTGTAGTTTGAGACTGGGGCAGTCATTTTATAAAATGTTTTACTTTGTACTATTAAACATTGGTTTCCTTCAACAACTGGAGTTGTTTTTTTTACTATTGTTGAACTAGACTTAAGAACATTTTACAGAATAAAAAACTAAAGACAAATACAAAAAACCTAAAAATTACTTAGGTGTCAGTACAAAGCCAATGAAGTACAAAAAAGCTCTTGAAGTAAGAAAGCAGTACAAAAAACTGATCTATAAAAACATTGATGATAAAGTCTAGAATGCAGATTTTTTTGTTACACTTTTTGCATCATTGAAAAATAAAAAAATTAATTTATTGTTGCTTAATATTTGTAGTTTTTGTTTGTTGTTAGGTACAAAGCTAAACAATGATCTGTCTGTGCTCTGCCTACCACATGTACTGAAACCCTATTTTTAGTGTTATAAGCCATCAGACTTACAACTTAACCTCCAGGTGATAACATTTTTAGTAATATTAAAATGCTGAAAACTATTTCTATTAACCTTGGTAGTCAATTTTTTTCCCCATATATGTTTAAATGCAAGATAAAGGTACCATTATTCTCAAAACTGAAAGGAAAGCCTCAAATTCTTGAGAAAATGTCTAAAAAGTGGGAACACCTTGATAAGATTCAATAAAGACTGTCAATTTTAGATATTGTGGAGTGTTGATTAATATGAGTAGTTAAGATTAAATATTAAATCTAGGAATCCACAATATTATCAACAAACTACTGCAGTACTGAATTTATTGATATATAATTTGTTTTCAGGTAGCTTTAACAATGACAAAGGGCTTTGTGTAATATCTCCTTGCATACCAATTTCACAATCAGATAATACTAATAACTCTGACACAGTAGTTGATATCAAATCTGATTCATCATACTAGTTACTAAAAATTCATTTTCAGCACAGCCATCAGTACTTCACTCCTGTCATAGAACTATGGTCTTCTAAATTGGCATTATTTTTACTATTGTTTGAAATATCAAAATTTTTATAAGGTAAAAAAATTAAAGGAATAAACTAAATTTAAACTGATTTAATATTCTACTTCAAGGATGTAGCATTTTTTTCTACACTTATTTTGGAAAGTCATTATTTATTTTACCTTTGATTTGTTTCCAACTGGGAAGTTAAAGCGACCATATGTACGCATTCCTTGGAATTGGCCCAACTGCTGGAAGTAAGATGTAACTGATTTTCCACAAAAATTGCAACTGACAAACACTTGCTGAGGGGGCATTGTGGAGGGGTTTACTTTACACCATTGAACATCAAAAAGAGCCCTGCAAGAATTAGTAAACACATTATATTTTAGATCAAGAGGTGTACAATAAAATGCCTAAGCCAGCAAAGTAATGAAACTTCTTTTAGGCCTAACAAAAATACTTAATATCACTCTTTATTATAACTACAAAACAAAAATAAAAATTCTTATAATCAGAATCCAGCATCAACTATACATTTTTGGTTGCTTGGATTCTAAAGTCAAAGAACCTTTAACATCAGGCTCTTGTATTACTTATATTTTATCAGGCATTCTAAAGCCCAGTATCAATAAGACTTTATACATTCTCATGTGTGGAAATGTACAGTATACTGTACACTATCGCAAATAAAACACAATTATAATATTTCAAATTATAAAACATGTTAATTTTTAAAACTCACTGGAAGATTCACTCCAGAATATCTTTTTTACCGTATAGTTAGAGCTAATTAAACCCTATTAATATTATTGAGATGAACCTATTTTGCCCATAGGTATCATCAACTAGTTGAAATTATTCATAGAAGGTTTTCTGCATTTGGATCATTTATAAGATAGAATGCTAGAAAAACCCGAGCATACAATTTCTGTTTTTCTTGTTGTTTAGTTTTTCAGTTACTTACAAAGACCATCATTTACACAATTTCATTTCTAATTTCACAGGTGCCTGAATCACTTACTATAAATGGCTAAGACTGAAGGCTAATCATGAAATCTCATTCCAAAATGTCTAGTGAACGTTTTTGTGCAAGGGTTTTCCTTCAACTCCATACATCATGTTTTTTAGGATGATTATTACACATTAAAAAAAGGAAAACAGTAAGGGCTCACTTGTAGATGCAACTGTACTAAGGCTACACAGAATGCTTATGTTGCAAGAAACAGTTTCAAAAGTAACCTCAATATTGATTGTAAATTGTAAAACTTCAAGTACAGAGAGCAAGAGTGGCAAGGTGATTGATTATCAAGCAAGATTAAGACCACTGCACAGAGTTAACTTGTGAAACAAAGCAATAAAATAGCACCAGTCAAAATATGACTAAAGTTCAATGTTAGATGCCAAGAACTAGAGTCAATAAGAAATTCACAACTGAGCTCAGACATATGGTCTACCATGTGAAACGTTCAGAAGAAGAAATGTACAAAATTAAAAATATACAAAAGAATAGACTTTACTCCAATGTTGACCATTTTGTGTTGTAAAAGTAAATTTAGTAAGATTAAGAATACTAATTTTTTATCTTACAATATTCAAATTTCATTTGCTTAACTTGTAGGACCTCCTAAATGAATATCAAAAGTTTTTGTTTTCAATAAAACTCCATATCTTTTTTGTTATTTTCTCAAACACTATACAAACTCAGTCCATCTGATCAACTTTGTGGCCACCATTAAACAATATGAAGTAAATCTAAATTACCCTCTTTTCTTTCTAGAATGACTGCAGATTGTAACAAAAAAAGTACTATTATTTATCCTAAGCAGCCTCAGGCTCATAAGTTTCTAATTTTTACATTTTAGTTACTTTTATAACAGTAAATAAGAAATATACATAAAAAACAAGGCATTTAGTGCTTTTGCATGATCTAGATTTTATTTATTTTTTTGCTCTCACCCCCAATGAAACTTATTATTTTGCAATGGTGGTAGAAGTACACAAAATAATTTTTATTTATTTTAAATAAGTATGCAAAATGATAATACAAACAAGGCTTACAAAGCAAACTATTTTAATTTAACTGGCTTTCTAACTAAGGATATAAGTGTCTTAAAATAATTCACTTACCTGGGCAACATGAACTCAGAGATAGTAACAATGAATCTATAAGCCGAATAATTCAAACATTGTTGTCAGAACAAGTTAGCTTTAAACAAAAGTCAGTAGCTCAAAGTCCTCTCTCTCTATTGATTATAAATAATCCAAGATCAAATGTCAGAGAGAATTATTGACATTAAAAATGGGTTTGACTTTGTTTTACATCTCTGTATATAAACCAAGAATATTGGAGAATATAATTTAGAATTAGACTATGCCATTCTAACAGTGAAACCCAGGATCCAATCCTTGCCACTAACATCATAAACACAATTCTTCTCAAGAATTTCCAAAAGATGGCAACAGGTTGGTAGCCAAAATATAAAGTATATACAATTTAGATATTAGTATACAGTCAAAAAATAAATTAATAACTAATAAATAATAAGGGACTAAGATGATCATACAGGCTATTAACAATGGCATCTGATGGCCATAGCCTAATCTTATTTACTTAACTAAGAAGTTTATCAGAAAAGGGCAGTAAAACACATTTTCAGCTAAAAGTGAAATTCATTATTCATGGCATGAACTCACAACTGTTTTTATCTATTACACAACATGAATGAAGAAGTGGTCTTCTTGTTTTAGTGTTGATAAAATGTTAAATGGGCCAAATACATCACATTTATTTGCACAAATATATAGAACAACCCTCTGCCATTTCTTCATATTAATGCTATACTATTTTACTCAGTATAGTCATAACAGCTTGCTGTTATTATTTTCTACACTTTTCTAGTCCCATCAATATGTTATTTAACCCTATCGCTATGGGTTTTCCTATGGGTAGGGGTCAGAGAGCATGTTATCAAGTTTGTAAGCTTTTATGAATGTATGTAAATAAGTTGGGCATCATATTGTAGATTATAATTCAAATTTTTAGTATTATACATTAGTTAATTTCTTAATTTAAAAGTATATATTAAAACAAAATTACTAAACACTGATATTTGTGTGTCACGTGTTATGTTGAATGCACCTTTGGTTCAAGTTAGATTTTATGACATCCAAATACAATGTCTATAGTTTCTTATGTTATAGAAACTCAAATCACTGACACTGGAAAGCTACAATATAAAATAAGAACCTCTTATCTTTTCTATTTGCTGAAATATTATTATATTTAGTGAATCCACCACAGTAATAGTAAATAATAATAATATATATACATATGTAACGTATTATAACCGAAATGTGATTGTATTTTACATAATACTAGTACACTAGTAGTACAAAGCTGAGACAGTTGCACTTTATTCAGGCCAATTTTATGCTATTGGATATGGTAACAACAGCTGCATGTGTGCCCCATGACTGCAACTTCTGTGGCACTATTGTTAGTCAGACATGGCTAAAAGGTTAATAAAACAAGAATTATAACTATAAATAGATATAATAATGTTACGAGGTTTAAACTATTTAAAATAAACATTTGTTGTTTCCCATTACAAATTGTAGTCATTTTAGAACAAAAAAGTGTAATTTAGATTTATTTCCTAACTTGTTACAGTGGTTACGAGGTTGGTCAAAATGACCAACCCTATATAGAGTTAAGGTAGAAAAATAACAGGTAAAATATAAAAAACCTTTGATAGATATTTAGGAGGTTATAGAGATGATGCAAATGAAACTTGACAATTTTCAGATAAAAAAAGTATTTTTAATATTAAAATCAAAATTAATTTGCATGTTGGATAATCAACATTCCAAAAGAAAATAACTCACAACAAATCTTTAATTAAAAAGTCTTAATACTTAATTAAAAAACTTAATATTTTGTGTACAAAAGCCTTGTAATGTTTATTTATAATCTATGAAATTTCATGAAGATATGCTTACATTATCAAAAATTATAGTATGACTACTCCTATGGATAATTTGGTGGTTAAGGGCTGGATGGATTCCACCAAGCCCATACTCATAGAGTTAATGAATATATTTGCTGCAGTTATTACATCAAAGTAGACTGTCCAAATTACCTCTGATGCCAAAGTCTCCAGCTATCCAGGAGATCTCGATAGCTTTTCACCCAAAGTTGAGCCTGTTGATCTTGGCTAATAAAACTTGGTATGGCCTGTAACACTACTAAACTAGCTGTCTGAACATCCCCTGTCAAGTCCACATATCGCTGAAGTAATTGTAAACCCTCTTGGTTTAATCCTGGAAAAAAAATATGTTACAAATACACTGCAGATACAAGTGTAGTATCTAGTGATTTGAATAGGTAATAAATCTTTAAATAAATGTATGTTTTCATATTTTCAAACTGCAATTTTTTTCATCATAAACAAACTGTTGGGTTAGGTTATCTCTATGCTGATATTATTCTTTAATATCAATATGAATTATACACACCATGTTTCTATAGCTAAAGTACGCTACTAGTAATACTTTTCAGACACTAAACTGGATGTAAATATCGACTAACTTATATGATTAGATGGGTCATTCCACAACTCAAGGGTAAAGTACATTTCAGGATATTTCACTACCTAATTATTTAGTGCTTACTAAAAAAGAATTAGAAGTATATTTACATACAAATATGCCTACGTTTCTGATTTACTTTTCAAGTTAGTTTTTCTGTTACATCTACACAAAACCAAATGAAATATACTGAAAAAGTAATATACTTTTATAGATATACCATAAGGTGGTTGCTATGAACAAAATTAATAATTAAATGAGGATGGTTCTTACACTGTCCAATGTATATTGGCAAAATAGGTCAATATTTTTCATGATTATAAAGCACAATAACATTTAAGAAAAACTGAGGAAATCTCACTTATACGAACACCAACTCATTATACACTCAGATATACAATGTTTGAGGAAAAATGTCTGACTAACAATGACTTGATATAGCCTTGAAAGATTATAAAAAATACTCACCAGTCAATAATATACCAGCTAAGTCTCCAGTTTCAATTACTTTTGTTGTCAGCCGATCCAAGTACTCAAATAACTGAATTAAAAAACTTAATTATAATAAGATATGCAAGAATATATTAAAAGGAAAATTGAATGTTAATGCTATAATTGCATTTACAATACACCACTAAAGTACAAGTCTCAGACTTCTTTGTTTAATTAAATTAAAAATATCACAGACTGGCTTCTGAATAACTTTACTTCTCTGTCTGCTTCAACTTAAACAATACCTTCATGTATATTTTGCATAGGACACAACCGTTCATTATAACAATCAAATCTGTAGATATAACACTAAAGCATATAAAGGAACTCACCTTATTGTCTGGAAGATACAGACATGCAAATGACACTCGATCTTTTACAGCAATCCCAGACTCATTCTGAATAATGAAAAAATAAACTGAACAACCATTTAAAATAAAACTATTGATGTTAAATTATATTTCTCCTCCAACTAAAAGAACACAATCTATTTGAGATAAATGCAGAAAAAAAGCATTACACATAAAATATTTATTAACATCTGAATGTTCCATCACACCAAAGACATTATTACATAACTAAGAACTAAGGATTTTTCATTTTAAACATAAAAAAAGGAACAATATATCAACACTAATTTGAAAAATCTGGAGTAAAATATTGTAGAAGAAAACTCGAACAATAAAGTACAAAATGTTACAGGTAAATTAGTTACTTTCTGATCACAATATAAACTGACATATATACCTAGATAGCCATAAGTAGCCACATTAACCTACTTCTACCTTCAATTAAAGTCCAGCCAACAACATTTATACTATATCAAACACATAATAAATAGTAATCACCCAACACAGGATATTAATCTCCCACCGGTATAACGTTACAAACACACATTACAGCCAAAAAACAACAGCTTTAATGAGAAACCAAACTGCCATTAATAGATGTCTTGATTCTAGCCTGATGAAACATTTGAGAGTTAGCATAACTTGGTGAGTTAGCTGTTTGAAAAAGGAATCTGACAGTTATATTTCTTCACAACTGTTGTACAGTAGCTTATATTGTCAACATCTACCTTTTAAAACTATCATTCATGATTTCAGTGAACTAAGATTTAGAGAGATAGCTTTCTTATCACTTTTGTATGTGTGTAAGATTACTTTTCCTGAGTAAACATCTGTAAAAAAGATTACAACGATAAAGTATGTAAAACTAACAAAACAAAATCTATTGAAAATACATCAACTTCATTAAGGTTTTTATGTATATCATTAAGTCATATCCAGGTTAGTGTAAAACCCCATACTTTGGGCATGAATAATATAAAAACTTTCTGGAATGCCAAAAAAATATCATTAACATATTAATCTTTTGAACAGGACAGAAAATATTCACAAAACCTCTTTCAAGAGGAATACATCTTACCAAAACACAGTCATAATTGTCAACATCCGAAGTCAAGAATGCGAACATGGAACGCAAGTATGGGTCATTTAACTGAGGTCGCAACACATCACACATTTCTCGCCATAGTGTGTTTTTTTCCTGTGTAAAGCCAGACAAAGCCATGGCAACAACATTGAGGTTTACATCTTTCCCTGAAAGAAAGAAAAACTACTTGTATTATATTATGTTTAAAATCATGCATAAACAATATTCCAAAGAAAAGTTCTATTAAGAATTCATCATACTAGGAATTTCTAGCACACGACTGAGCAAAAACTTTCAGACCTTCAAAAAAACATTTCAATATATATATCCTAACAACTGCCAGTAATAAAACTCTCAAGTGATCTACTGTATTTTGGATACTCACTATATTATTTGAAAGTACAAATTAAGGGTAAATTTTTTATTTCAATTTAGTTAAAAGATATTGTAATGCTAGTCCAGACAAAATGCCTTATAGTACAACACTACACAAATGTTAATGCTACTTCATACACTTAGTGTACTTTCACATCTTTTACTTCAAAATATTTTCTTTGCTAGCAGTTACAATGGTAACTAAACAGTAAACTATGTTTGTGCTAATTTACAATTTAAAGATGAAAAATAACTTAAACTCAATTCAGTTTTAAAAACATGTACAACATGTATATTTGTTTCAAAATAGTTAGCAAAGTTACACATGGACTATCTGTACATAGCCTTCCCTAATTTTGAACTGAGAGACCAAAGGGAATTACAGCATTACCACCAACTCTAAAGTTAGTCTTGTCTGATTGAATAGTGGGGGATTTCAGTGTCACTTTTAAAGCACACCTACAGATTTTGAACATATTTTTGCAACAAGGAATTAAAAACCATGAATCCTCAGATCCACAGTCTGGGCACTCCAGCCTACAGCAGATGAGAAACTTTAACACTGATTTACTGATCTATATATCAACACTACAAAATATCATAACACCTGGAATTGACATTTTGCTTTCACTAAAGTGATTCCAAGTATAATTGAATATTTTTTTAGAATTTAACAAGAAAATAAAAAAGATTATATATGTACATTGTAAGCAAATTTATAAATTTACCATAATTAATTCTGTCACACTGTTATGGTATTCCTTTTATAATTACATGGAACAACTGTATTAACTTCATTCATACAACTTCCTGCTATTTTTCACTCATTTTTAAACAGTCTGGTTTATGTAAGCAATACTTCTTCATTATTGTATCATTTCACACAATAGGTTATCATAACCCCAACAACATCTACTATTACCTTCCTTTAACATATTTTCATAGCCAATGTATCCATTTAATGCACATGGGCCCTAGGGGGTGAAAGAGAAGGGGTCATATCCAAAAGCCACCTCCCTCCCCTGTCACTTCCTGGGGAGGGTCTTAAGGGTACATGCCAGGTTTTGTGACAACCAGTTAAGCATTCCACCAGCTATACACACACATTTTTCTAAAATAATGCTTTAAAAAAAGTTAAGCAATTTACTTACATCACAAGAAAACAAGTACAATATGCAAATAGAAGAAAAATGTCTACTTACCAACTGGAGGGTTAGCTGTGGCACCTTTCTTTAGTATCTGGATGGCTCGTTTCATCTTTAGTGTAAAAATAGCTATTGCTGCAGCTCGTGAATACTGTCTATCTATTTCTAATCTATTTCAATAAAGAACATTAAAGTGGTGCACAAGTTCAAAGCCAAAGATTTTCAAATTAGGTGCTACTCACAAACACTTAAAAATTACATAATTTGTTTACTATACACTCTATAAATTTTTTAGATAACTATCATTGTTTCTTTTATAAAAGTATTTGAGGTATTTTCTCAATAACGTTTTACATTCTTGGTCAACATTTTTATGAGGTATAAGTTACCAGTTATAAGCCAAGTTACATTTTTTTTAAACACTTTCCTCTGCGAGTATGTAATGAATACAGTGATAATAGTTAGGAATTTAGAGCTGATCGTGAATAATTACAGAGTTCAACTAAATTCTAGTATTATTTAAGAAAAAACTGATGTAAAATTGAATGAATTTGTGATAGATATTGAAAATGAGAAAAAAAAAACCTAATTATATGTGAAGTTACAAATGCAAAATGAATTTCAATTTAATATTTACATCTGTTTGGAATGTCAAATATTTTAGAAGGTCATGTACATGTGCTACTTCTTTACAAACTGCATGAAAAGTAATAGACCTCAAGCCTAAGTTTAAAAAAATTGTTTTTATTCAAACTACTGGAAATAGCATTTCTTTTAGTTTAATACCAATAATCCTTCTTCAAGATGTTTAATCAGTGTGCTATAAATATGTCATGCAGTAGAACTTACTTGGCAACCATGTACCATTACCTTTCACTATGTGTAGCAAAAAACTAATACAAATATCTTAAATGTTTTCTTAATCACGATTTTTTTATAAACAAATATTTTGTATTTTATATCTTTTTGTGGGATTTTTTTCCTGTTTTTTTGACATCAGTCTGATACTCACTAGGTATTTGTGAAGTATCAAATGACTTTGGCATAAAGCTGCTAGTACATTACATATTATGAGCAAACAATTGCAATTTTAATTACACAAATTGTTTATCTGTCATTAAAGTTGTTAAACCACTATTATGCTTCCATATTAAAAAAAAACAAACTTCACATCAATCTAATCTGCTGACATAGAGAAGAATTCCAAAATTAACTCTTAGATAGGAAGCAATTACATCTGCAAGGGCTTAAAAGATCCTCTGAACATGGTTAGATATACAAAACATGCTGCCTGGAATTCTTAATGCTGGGATATTCAGTCAATTTGACTAGATCAGAGGGTGAATTCTAAGTCTCACAAAACCACTCACTTATTAAGAAGAAAAGGGAACTAATAACACCAACTGCTGAACATATGTGAATCACAAACCTAGGACTGTCAAGAAAACTGAGTTTCAACAGTCAAATAAAAAAGTGACATACTTCTCCAATACCACCATGCTTAATGTGCTTCTCACCTCCATGAGAGTCTGTACATATTATTACTTTAACAAGTTCTTATACATACACACACACCGATTTATATATTTATGATATATTTACTAAAGTATTAAGCTTTAACCCTCAAGCAGTGAATCAAAGTCTGTGCAAGAAATAATAATGTTGTTGATGCATGTATCGCAACATATACTAGAACTTCTGAAAAAATAGCTCATTACCCACACAAAGTTTTCAGTTTCATGTAAATATCCCCAATCCAGAAAGAGTACTGATAGTGTTTTGTTATTTTAGAGCAAACATCTGTATGAAGCTGGCTGAAATAACATGGTATTTCATTTTACCATCAGGACTGGAAAAAAAGAGTTAGGGATAAAAAAAATGCACGCAGTTACGCTTAATGAATTTTTTTTTTTTATATGTTGGTTACAGATGATTATATGATAAACTTGGTCCTAATAATATTCACAAACTACACTTTAAGTCTTTTCAGCACGGGCTCGGTCCCTTGGACCAATTTCATAACCATTTTATGCTTGTTATAGTTTTCATGCTATAATTTTTAAATTAGTAAGCATATGTTCAAGAAATTTGGCAAATTATCAGTAAGCATTCCAAGGCTTTCATATGCAAAATATCAGATTTTTGTATTAAGTCTTAAGGTTTGTTAAGCAATGTTTTTCTCATGCCTTTTTTTCTTTTTGCATGTTGCCTATCCAACATGCAAAGTAATTTTTCATTTTAAGATTAAAAATAGTTTTATACATCAGAAAATTTTCAAACTTCACATGCGAAATCTTTATAACTTCCAGAGAGTAATCAAACATTTCTTAAGAAAAAACTTTATATTTGCTAACAATTCAGAAGTTACAATGATGTGGCACACCTGCTCTCATGTTACCATATCCAATAATATAAAACTGACCTTTAGTCTTCACAAAGTGACATTTCTTGGCTGTGTTTTAGTGGACTAGTATTTTGTAAAATACAGCACATTTCAATTAGTATACATTATATATGTGTGTACATTATTACTATTTACAAATAAGTTCTTAAACTTATTTTACTTGAAATACAGAACAGTAAATAAAGAAGTAAAGCAAATAATTATCCCTTCTAGTTACGACCTTTGAACTCGTTTGCTAATTGTCATAGGTTGCTAAGCCTTATAAAATTTTGCACCTGGAGGATGTGAAATGAAATCATTTTTTTAGGTTTTTTATATATATACATTTGAAATAACCAAAAATCATAAATTACTATATTGATACCATAGAATTTCACTATAATTTATCAAGCTTAGTAACTAAGCTGTATTTGAGTCTAAACACACATTACATTTCAAGCAGACAAAAGACAAAGCCACTAAGGGGACATTCTGAGCTTTCAATTGGTTATTCATATGTCATAGACAGAAGTAAGTGTATATAAGGTAGCATTTCCAAAAATAGATAGAGATTAGCGGGGCCACTGTGTTTGTTTCAGTACATGAGCGATATCTCAACAAATAGAAAAAGATAGGTAGGTTCTTATTTTATATTCTAGCTTGTAAGTATCAGTAATTGGAGTTCCTAATTCTTGCGAAACTATAGACTTTGTATTTGGACATTACAAACATCTAATTTGAACCAGTGCTGCATTCAACATACCACTGGACACGCAAAAATCTATGTTTTGGTGTTGTTTTTTTAATATTTACTTTTAAATTAAGAAATTAAATAATATATAGTACTAAAATTTGAATTATAATTTACAGTTTGATACCAAACTTATTGACAAATTCATAAAATAGTAGTTCAATAAAATTTCGATTGAGTCAACAAACATGATGACGTGGCCTTTGACCTGTGTGGAAAGGATTAAACAACAATTGATAAAAATTTTATTAAAATTATAACATCTATTTATCTACATATATTGAACATTAATAATATTTTAAGTTGTGAAAGCAATTGTAGATTTGTATTCAGCTTACAACCTTACAACTACTCAAAAAGCTTAAACCACAATCATTTAACATGATAGTTTCCTTCTACTATTCTACTATTCAAGTAATAGTAATACTGCAATAATGGACATCTACAAATAAAGTCTTCAAGCACTGGTCAATCAGCAAAGATTGCAGTGTATTGAAAAAAGAGAATGGCTTTTAATTTGATTATTTTTGAGAACATCAGAAAGGAAAACATCAACTAAAGGAGGATGAATGTATTTAGAAACACAGAAATGTATAATATATATATATATATATATATCTTTGAGTTGCCTGTTACATATATTACAAAAAAAATCCTGTGGATGTAAATACAATTTGTGCATAATTTTTTTTTCAGTTAAGAGACAAATTGGTCATTATTAAGAGACACTCGTGGAATACATTTCTGAGAAAAACATGCTGGTCAGCATTAAAATATATGTAGTTAAGCAGCAAAAAAGGAGTCAGAATATTCTTTGTTGGTGTCACTTATAGCAAGTTATTTCAACTGAACAACACATTGGCATCTAATTTAGGCTCCACGACCAATAAGAAATTACACCTGCAGTAAATCACTTAGTTTCAATGACAAAAATATATGTATACAATATTCACAAATCATAAAATGTTGTATGTTTAAGTGAACTGAAGCTTTTACATAGTTTTCAAGATAACTTCTATTTTCTTATTCATTAATCTTAATATGTAAACTTTGATTTGTGAGAAAATTGTTTCAGAAACACTTATTTCAGTTTACTAAAAACAACATGTCAGTATTTTTGCTATAAAAACAACAACTGAAAAACACTTAAATTTTGTGACTGCAAAAACAATTGAATATGTTCAATGTTATCTCATACTAATTTAACAAGCAATCTCTGACTTAATCAGACCATGTTTACTAAACTGCTCTCAGCCTGTTAAGTCCAGAATTAAATTTGTATTTCCTACAAGTTTATCAGAATATAATTTATTTTATCAAAAACTGAATGTTGTAGGGCAATCCTGAAAGAAGTACTTACAAAGATATAGTGACTTTTATAGTGTTAATGGGAGTAATACTTTGCCAATAGTTGGCTTCTGGCCATAAGTTGTTCTAATGCAATTTCACTGAGAACACACTGCTTTTCTATCAATGTCAAAGGTGAAAATGTAATTAAACACATGAAGCAAAGAACAACATCCAAGTAACAACTGGATATTTTCAAAGAAATCCCTCCTCATGAAAAATGGTAGTGTGAGGAAGGATAATGGGAAGGAGTAATAAACAGTGCTGATGAACTACTTACCAAGTTCAGTTTCAGTTGACTGATAACCATCATCCAAAGCTGCTTAACTTTAGCACCGTGAAACTCTTCACCTGTACAACCTTCAACCTTTTCAACTCCAACAAAATTCTTGGCAGATTGTGCCCTATCCATCTATGTAACTTACTTAATATGTAATTTTTTTTCAAGTTAAATGAGAGATTGCTTGTTAAATTTTACTTAAATAATATAAATATTTTACAGTTTTTTACAATCTGACACAATGATACATTTTCTGGAATTTTTAGTAAGCTTATTTGTAGGAACAATTACATTTATTCATTTTAAGAGAAACTTACTTTTCTAGAAGTGGTACAAGGGAAAGGCCATCAGTGTCATAACCCCACTCACACAATTGCAAGGCTCTGTCTCTACAAAATTATTATATATATATCTATTTCAAAATATACATTCATGAAGTAGTAAACATTATGTAATTCACCAAAAATTACATGTTAAATTAACTGTTATTTCCATTAACTATTTGAACATCTGCATTATTAATAGGATCACTAAAGTGCTACTATATGCAATTTTATGGAATTTGCTTATAAAATGAAGTTTATTATTAAATTCAATGAATATATATATTTTTACCTTTTTGTTTCTTATAAGTTGACATATCAGTTTATTGAATCTTTTTAGTGAGAATTGCAGGAACCATAATTAGTTTAAGTCAAAATTAATTATAAAATCATAATTAATGATGGGCATATTGTAAAAAATTCTTACTCAAGCATATATACTGCAGACTTGCTTTGCAATTTATAATTAGTCACTGGTGTTACTCAGTTTTAAATTATTTGACTATGTATTTAATCACTTGATTATTAATTAATAATTTTACTTATTGAATCTTATTACAAAAATGCCTTTCATACGCATTAGTAAATTATACCTGACATGACTGTAAAGGTATGGATGATCTTGTGTGTTTGCAATAGACAAAACTTTACATACTGTACACCAAATTTGACAATGTTTTTTTTAATTCAGTGTTGATTTGCATATTATGTATATAATGTTACAACTAAATGACAACAGAATAATATGTACATGCAACTATTCCTATTGTTAATGAATTGAATGGTTTTGCCAGTAAAGTCATCATCAGATTGTGAATAAGTGAAATTTTTGTGAAACGTACAATTGTCTTTGTTTTTTCTTTAATTCTGTAATTACAGAATTTCACCAAGTACTGACAGTTTCAAGTATCAATTATATAATCCTACAGTATTTGTTTTAAAAATATTTCTTTTCCTAATAGTGTTCACTAGGATCCTAAAATTAAAACAGCTTCAGTAAAAATCCCCACTGTTAACATGATCCTGCTGTCATTCACTGTTCCTTACCTTTCATTACTATGGTACATTGGAACTTTGGATGATCCAATTTGACCTTTACTGTCCAATCCAACCCAACTAACAAAAATTTGTTCACTCTTGCATGATGTAACCCAGACACCTTGAGAATTATCACCACCAAAGATCAAAGATCGAACTCCTTCATACTTATTTTCCCCTTTAAAGAATCCTTTTATCTTTCCTTCTTCACGAAGACTTTTCATTCGTGATTTTAAAGTTAAAGAAACATCAAATATTCATGTTTCTAAGAGCCAACTAACAAATGAATGAAACATGATGGATAAAATTTATAGAAAAATAACTGCTTTGTATTCTATTTTATTAAAAGTTACAGCTTTTACAGTAAGGAAGAATATTTTTTAAAACAGGTATGACATTTCAATCATTGGTGTGATCATTCTCAAGTACAAAAGTAAAGAGTAAAACAAGTGATCAAAACATTGTAACTGTTTTAGAAAATATTTTTCCTTACTGTAAAAGCTGTAACTTGTAATAAAATAATACTTATAATCAGTAAGTAAACTCAAAACAAAACTAGTTTGCATTTTGTAAAAAAGATTAATATATTCTACAAAGCAGTATATGTTGACCCAAAAGCCTTCAATTTATAACTGCTCAGCAACATTATTTCTTCCATATTTTGAAATTTGTACGGCTGGCCATTTGTAAGTACAGTTTATGATATTTGATAAATCTAGACTATTGTGTCCCTGTTTTGAAGAACTTCAAGTCACTTTTATTTAAATGTAACAAAATAAAAAATATTGTAAGATATTAGCATAGTTTATTTCTGATATAAGGTTGCATAAATACATCCTGAATCATACATATAATTTCTCAATAAGGTTAGTAGTCATACCAAAAAGTAATAAAAATTTCAACTCAATAAAAAGTATTCACACTATCCATAAAAAAGTTCAAGACTTTAGTTTATTCACTTGAAATGAATAAATATCTTGTTTTCTAATAACATTCTGGATTTTTCTATGAAAAATAATAATACAGATATAATTTAAAAACTCTTCAGCACTTTATATGGATATATAAAATGCTGCAATTTAATCTCTTCTAAAATCAAGAAATGCCCCAGTGGCAGAAATGAGTTAATATTGTAATTATATTTAAATAGGAACAATTGTATATATATATATATATTTTCTCTTTTATCTCAAAAAAAGAACTAAATTCTAATCTTCTGCAAAAAATATTTTGTATTTCTTAGTCTACAGTTATAATAACTCAATCTTGTTCCCACAATGCTTAAACCAATGTGAAAAAAAAATTTGAAAGGAGAAAGTAAAAAGTGTACAATTTACTTATTCTTGTAATTTATATCAACCTAATATTACTACTTTTTCCTATAAATATATTATGGCTAATATAATACTGAAAAGCATGAATTTGTTATTACTGAAAAACAACCTCCAGTTCAGCAAAACAAATTCAAAACTTTGATAAAGCCTACAAAAGGATATGATCTAGCCAAGTCCAAAGTTCCAACAATCCTGGTTCCTGTGCTATCTCTCCATTCTGCCAGAGTTGCCGAGTCTAAAGTGAGAAAAACATAAACTGCTTCTTATACTTGAAACATTATACATAATTTTTGTGATAATGAAAAAAGGATTGATAAAATCAAATTTAATAATTTAAAAAATTATGACATTTTTTCCATCAAGCAAATTTTAAACTCCATAAAAATTTCATTTGGTTTTAGGAACACAAGTAGTGGCTACTTTCTTTTGAAAAAGATTCATAAAAATTTATGTTTATTTATACAATTTTTTTAGGTTGTAAAATTTGTAAAATCTTGGGCTTTCAATCTTTTTTTTATTGATCAGGAAGTTCCATTTTATGTATCCATTCACTTTAAATTGTTTGATATTTCTTTTGATACTTCATATGAAAAGGTCAACCTCAAAAGATAAATCATACAAACACCATATATGATTGACAAAGGTTTATTAATGACAATGACCTCAACTTTCAATATGATAACAATGTTATTTTTCTCTACTACGGTAGTTATATTTTGCCAACAATATTTTTGATGAAGATCAATATGTCTAATAGTTATTGTTTGTTTACAAATAAATAACAGGGTTTTATGTTTATGTGTGTATGTTCTTTGAAAACAACATAATATATTCAACCTATATTCATATCTATGGCAAAACTACTAAGCCTATTTGCTGTAATTCTTAATTTTGAGATACTGAATAGAGGGAAGATATACAGACATCACCCTATCATCTACCATCCACACTAACACTGTATTGTCACTGTAACAATGCACCCACACCTTAATGTGTATGTGTATGATGGGGGGGGGGGGTATTTTGTGGTATTGCACTGACTTGAAGCCAGGTCACCAGCTCCAAAATACAGAGCTGTACCACAGGACCAGCTCATACCCATATTCAATTTAAAAAGACTTGCTATCCAAATAGTTAGTCATAGTAGGCCTTAGTTAACTATAATCCCACTATCTCAGTATTATTATCTAATGGTTTGTCACAGAAAACTATTACTGTAGCTTTCAAACAGACATAATATAATTCAAAAACATTATTAAAAATAAAGGATCATCACCAGAAACTATAAAAATTCACAAGTCTAATTAATTGAAAGGTATTTCAAAACTTTGGTTTGAGGTTACTTCATGGCATTTAACTGCATCCAACCATCCAATAAATTCACAGATGGTCAAATGGATATATAAAAACATAAAAGACAAGCTAACTGAAGACATTATATTCTGATTGGGAGAAATAAATATAAGTTAAGTACCCTTGGAAATTAAAAAAAATATAGAACTAGTTGTTTACAACCCAGACACTTAGACATATGACAGAAATGAAAGTTTGATCATTTCTGGTATATTTATTTATTATAAATCTAGATAGCCATTATACAATGCAATATTTTTTTAGGACATAACTGCAGAAATATAATTAGAATCATATTTTAAAATTAAATTTTCAAAGTTAGTGTGATCTGAACACTCACAGGTTGGGAAAGGTTATTGTAATAGGCTGGGCACTGGACATTCCTGTGTCATGAAAGTTCAGTAAGTTATACATTTGAGTAGAGGTGGTTTCAACACAATGAGATGTACTCTCGTGACCTACTCAGTGAATAAATACCCTGCTATAAGATTCACTAGACAAGAGAGACACACGAGATAGTCTGTGAATTATTGCTGTTTATCACTCAATATTGATATTATTATTGAAAGGTATTTTCTTGTTACTGTATTTTTCAGGAATTAGGTTTTTCTTTCTGGCTCTTTTCCCCGATTCCAGTATCTGAAATAATATTGATATTTATGATATATTGTTCATTAACATTAGTGTCATATCCTGGCCAGGCACGTGTTTACCAACTGTGTTTTGGTAAGTGTTGAATTTATTTCTAAGTGTTGTTACAGTTGAATAAATTGCCTTTTTTTGTTGTTGAACCCTGATTGTAGCGGCATGTTTATTTCAGACCACTACATACTAAATTTTACCTTCAAATGCAATAGGGTTGTTTGGGACTACTTATAATGCACAAAAATATGTCAAATTTTCACTACAACTGATACTAAATTGGATACCCTTTTGTTTAAAATACTTTTGAAAATAATACCATATTTAGAAATTTAAATATTCAGGAGTTTAAATACTTTTTTGCGGGGGGAGAGGAAATACAGCTTTTTAACAATGTTTATCAGAGTTGTTATATTCAAATGTAATTACATTTTTCTAACTGTTGAATTCATTACATTATTGTGAGGTATATATACACGATGACAGTATCATCCTTATTAAAGTTGCTAACCTTCAGTCCGTACCCCAGAAGAGCTCTCCTCCTCATTTTCACAGATATATCATCAAGGGACTTGTACTGTTGATCTCGATGGTCAATACACTGTAGGAGTTTTTTTCCATGAGTCCAAACAATTTCTGATGTTGGAGACCAATTCTATATTAAAAAAAACCTTAACCTTAGAAAAACATAAAGAGAATATTTAATTTTGTTTGTTATTCCCATCAAAAAGTTTAAAAAATTTAGAAGTTAGAATATTCCCCCAAAACACAAATTACTTTTTTTGCAATGCATCTTGTCAATTTTGCACCAAAAAAATAAATAAATTATCCTTAAAAGATGTTCCAGTAAATACAAATGTCTCTCAAAACAAAAACAATGTCTGGAAAAGGAACAAGTATAAAACTGTGTGTATTCAAGTAAAATGACTAATGTATGACATTATATACACTCTTGATGATTAACATTAGTTACTGTATATCTTGTTTTATTTAAGTAATGAAAGTAGTCCATAGGTATTCCTGGTGCTTTATTGCATACTGAATACTAAGGCATGAACATCTGATAAAGCAGCCACTTTTCATAATTAAAACTACACTTAAAACAATTCTTAATATTTCTTTAATGTTTTTCAGTTTCAAAGATATAAAGTTTGCTAAATTATTAAAACTGCTAATTATTATCAATAAATATTTTATTAATTATCAATCACTATAGCTAACAGAACTTGTTCAATTAGTGTTAATTGATGATTTACGAAATAATTAATATACCAGAGTAAATAATTTTAAATGTATTTTGTGTCACAAAAACTGCTCATTTAAATGAAATCTTGAAATGCAATGTAACACGGTTCTAATAATAATAATAATACGGTTTTCCATAATAACACAAAGATAACTAAGATTATTTCAGAGCTTTTTATTATAACTGCAAGAGCTATGGCTTCTGTTGTTTACAGAGATTTAAAAACCCAATTCCTCACCAATGTAATTCTGTCAAAAACAGTGTAGTCCCGTATTGTGCCTGTGGGAGTGACAGTTAACAATCGATTCTCAAAAGTTGGATGCCACGAGAATGAAGAAATAGCATGTTGAGCATATGCTAAAATATAAAAACCAATGACTTCCTAAAGTCTCAGAATTTCTAATTATCTTATTTACACTAAACTTAGAAAAAGTTTAAGACTAATATTAATATGTAATCATTCATAAAGAATAACAAACTAGAAATTCTCATAAAAATTGTAAATCAAAATGTTATGCATTATAATACTCCAAGTGAAATATTATATCAATACTAAACAGCAACTGGTAAAAGTTTAACATAATTCCACAAAATATTATATTCTAAATGCTTTCAATTTTAATAACCTCATTACCTTATGTAATTAACTTTCAATCAAACCAAACTTATTATTTACAACAAAATAAATATCACTGCTACAACAGAAGTAGAAATGCTATAACAAGAAAACAATAACTACAACAACAAAATATACACGTACATTTATAGTCCATTACAATTCATTATGTAATAAATTATGAATTCATACATTAATAGAATTACTTACATCCAAAATTAATATGATTGAACTATTTACAAGTTGTACATAACAGCCTGGTTTATACCACAAATAACCAGACAAATACTGCAACTCACACAGTGCAACTTAAACGTATTGTTCATATATGACTACTTAGCTGTACCACTCATATATTTTTTAAATGTTAAACACAAAGCTATACAAAGGGCCATCTGTGCTGTGCCCGTCACAAGTATTGAAACACAGTTTTTAGTGTTGTCAGCCTTTAGAATTACTACTGAGCCACTATGGGGCACCACTCATTTACTATGAATACTTAAAACATAATGGAATAATTACTAGAGATTAAAATTTCTGTAAACCAGTCAAAGACCACTTGCAATGTACTCGGTGTATATACATTTTCATAAAAATATTCAGATATACTAATATTATACTAAGTGAGAGGGACACAGTGTGTGATATATACCAAGAACAAATAACTGTTCATTCATGAAAAAAATTAGCAGACACAACACATGTCTTTTAACCATTACCAGTTATATATCAATAATTTTCAGAAATATAAACTTCAGACAATTAGACTAAAACATAATAAGTTTGAAACATGCAGAGGGAGAGAGAGAGGTGGAGATCTGTTCCAGATTTAACATCTAACCACAAGATTCAAATACGAAATGAAACTATAACTAAAAAACAACAGAGCTCAAAAATTAGGAACACATAAGGGTACTCAAGCTGACAATTTAAAAACCACAAAGTAAAATAGAAAAACAAGGAGAAACAGAAATGCTACCTAAGAGAATGATAACTAAACTCTTGAATCCTCAAAATTCACATACCTAGATGAACAGCATGTGTTGGTTAACAATTTATAAACATATTTTCAAACATTATTTTTAAGTTAATAAAACTATGGTAAAAATTAAACATGAGTATTTTTATTCTATAAAACATTACTCTTTTAGCTACTTTTACTTACAAAATATAGCATCAATGAATTTCAACTCAACATCATTAACCACAGATGGCATACTCATACCATGAGAAGCACATCAATATAAAAATTCTTATGTTAGGATTGCTTTGAAAGTTTATCCCACTTGTAACAAATTCATTTATATAAAGAATTTTTTTTTAGAAAAACTGTATACAAGTTGCAAGTTAACTGTAATGAATACTACTGTAATAAGTTACAACAACCTAAAACAAAATCCAACAAACATAACTGATCATTCAACAAAACTGGATAGACTAAATAGTTGAGTTTTATCATTACTGAAATAATAGTATAATGTCTAGTTAAATTCCAATATTTATCTCACACAATATGAAGTCCAGTATTTGAAAAATCTTACATTACTCAAACAAAACTGATACAATATCGAAACATACAACACTGTATGAGTATCATACAACTTACGCTGCACACATCGTTCTACAATAGCAGGTTCAACCTCATCATTCCCAAGAGATGCCTGTTGAATATCATACAATTTGACTACTGAGCTGTCTCGAACCACACTTGTGAGCACTCCATTTCTATTAGAATAAATAAATATGCATTTAACTAGTGAATTTAATACTAAATATACTCAATGTGTGTTAGTTTTAGCTACAAAAAAGGTTGTCTGTTCATAGCCATCTCTAACTTTGAACTGGTAGGGTAGAAGGAAGGCAGCTAGTCAACTGCACTCACCACCAACTCTTGGGCTACTCTTATCTCACTAAACAGTGAGAATTGAAAAAGTCTTAAATGCAGAGCATGTTCTTGAAGCAACAGGATTTGAGCCACAAATCCTCAGATTCCCAGCCCAGTCAAACTAATCACTAATCATGGCCAGCTCAGTGACTAAATCATGATAAAGCTGCAAAACACAACACAAATCATTCTGTTCTCATTTATCCTCTGAATTTAACTTTGTAGCACTATAGATTAAAAAAAAACAGATACAGCTTAAAGGTTACTTTGTTTTTCCTACATACATACATACATCATATAATTATTGTTCATTTAATATTCTATTTACTTACAAATGATCTAATTTCCTTATATATAACTGTATAGTTTGTTACTGTGATCAATTTATTAACACGCATAACCAAATTAGTTTTTTGGTGTAAACATGACACTAAAGAACATATTTGATCCAAGTAACTTTTAGTAAAGACCAATACCGTCATAATTATTCTATTTTCCAGTTGCCTTAAAATCATAAATAAATAAGGTACAGTCTATCATAAATATTTCTAAAAAAATTTGTGAAGCTAACTTGGCTTTAAAGAACTACTTGGGTAGTATTTAGTCAGGTTTCCTTACCTGACAGTATAGGAGGTCACTAAAACCCCTTAGTTTTTATCTTCACTCTCAATTGGCCAAACAGTAGTTTCAAGTATTAACAGACAATGTGATTAAGATATGTTTCAACTACATTATGTGGTAGGCAGCAAAGCCTTTCATTCACTACCAGAGATCTGGCATTATTCCTGATAGGGTGGAAAGTGTTTTGATATAACTGTTTCCAGTCATAATGTCATGTTTCAGTCTTTGATCAATTTCACAGTGGATTTTCATTTAAGAAGAAAGTATTTTTGTAAAACAAATTCCAGTCTTACAGATCTATCCTATAAACTCTGTGTGCACAGATTAGGTCAAAGTGTGCATGCCACAACTTTTTACAGAATGCCATTCAACATGTTTTTTTTTTTAGAGATTGAATTACCAACTATTCATTTTACCATACATTGCTGATTTATTGATGGTTTGTGTTAAAGAAAAGTAAATACCAGATAAAAAATTTAAGAATACTGAAAAAACTTTAGATATACATTTATGATAAATGTATATCATACATTAAACTATTATATACAGTAAACTGTATGATAGTCAAAAATATTTTTATATTTACATGAACATCACCTTGCACTCCTACTTGTTAGAGTCCGAGTTAGACTGACATCATTGATTCACAGATATACTTTGATACAAATAATTTTGTGACATTTGATTTCTTGTGTACTACAAACATATACATTTCACTAAAAGCTCGCCACCTTTTTTGTAGATACAGTAGTAGATTCAGAGTTATAGTCAACATTCCTTCTCCAATACAGGGTCATTCCAATGGAAATTACAAGAAAATGAAATAGCTCTGTATTACAATTGTAAACTATTGCTTTATCTATTTCTAGAAAATGGAGGAAATAAAGTTTGATAAATGGTTAATTCTGCCTGACTGAAATTAGTTCAACTTATTTTGAATTACAATTATTTCTCATGCCTCTTTAGCTTCTTTGACCAAATGAGAAACCATATAAGAAAGAATTCTATATACCTGTACATATTAATACTTTGTACAAGAACAAAGGTAAAATAATACTTAGCAGTGTATTTGCAAATTTTCTAAACATTTTTCTGTACAGCAAGTGTAACATTCACCTAACACCAAGTTTAGAAATATAATTTATGTTAATTTTACCTTGTTGGACACCATGCTAGTTTTGTAACATGTCTGGACTCAGTCACAACATTCATCTTAATACAACAGGTTAAGAATTCATAACATTTACATACCTGAATAATGCTACTAGTGCACAGCCATACTTTACATACAACATTTATCTAAAATACTTCAAAAATTGTTTAAAAGCTTTACACGTAATTCCACAGCAGCGTAAATACAAGTACACAACTAACAAGAAAAATTTATTTATTTCATGCTTGAAAGTCATAACCTTTAACTTATCTTATCCAGTATGCTTGTTTGAAACATTTTATTGTTTATAACTTGAACTCACTATAAATTTTCAACATTTTTGTGTACAACAACTGCTTGCAAGGTGCTGTCAGAAGTACATATTTGAAATGAAACAAACATTTTTTCTCTTGAAAGTTATAATTTTCCTATACTGAAAATGTTTTTCCAATTGGTACTTATCTCCACTCACAAAATTAGCTATTCCCATTTGGTGTTGCCATCTATATGCAAACTTTTTCTTTACACACGCCACGAGCCTTCTGCTCCCCTACTGGAATTGTAATATTCCAATGTGTGTCTCATGCAAATCATCATGCATCACTCCTCCACCAATAACAGCATGACATGTTCACATGACACATGTGACTCCCTCTATACTCATCTACTGAATTATCACTTCAAAGTCTGGCAGAAAACTTAAGCACTGGAGGAAGGATGGGAAGTATGAAAGGAGGTAAGTACCTACTGGAAATACATTTTCTTTATAGGAAAATTATAACTTTTGGTATGGTACTTACCTCTTCTCACAAGATTAGCTAGAATACACATAGATAAGGAGGAGGGACTGGCACTAAGGAAGAACAGAAGTACCAACAAAAGCATCCAAAGGATACTCTTGGAAATGAGAGTCAAATCCGAAGATCAGATGAGGGGAAGCGCATCACTTCTGAAACAGGTACACTCTATGCCCTTCTGTGAAATGTGAAGAAATGCAGAAAAGGAGAGGAGCACACCTAAGTGGGAGAGAACTGTGTTAGGATCATGAACCTAACCATATAAACGAAATATAACTCAATCCCATGAAAAGAACAGTGGATAAAACAATAGATGTGCCCTCAGGTGTAAAGTGGCTAGGGCACGATGGACAGTACTCAGTTAGTTAACTACTTCCAAAACCCATGTCGCTGAGAACCAACATCCATGTGGCGGTAGGATGAAGATCATACCATCTTCACCTCAAACCCAAGAGACCATGGGATTTAGAATCACGCCATTTCCCAGGTATGACACAAGTATTACACAAGAAATAAAGAATAAGGTATCCCCAGAAAACCCCTCAGAATTTCTGTGGAGAGCTTCAGAGAGGAGGTGTAGAGATGAAAGATACTGTAAAGAGTTGTAAGGGTAAGATGCAGGTGAAAAAACTGGGCATGGGTCAGATTGACAGTTGATTCCACGAAGTCTGGGGACAAAGGATGGCCTATGTAACTTTTGATCTGTCAGTGGATAAATACAGATAAATTCACTGTCACCGCATCTGAGGCCTGAAAAATAAAGCTTGTCAGTGGTGTAACCCCTGAAGTGGTAACATGAACTTCAGAATTCATTGTGAAGAGTCCACCAAATTAGAGAGGTGAATTTAAAAATAATGCGACTGGAACTAACTGATAACATTTTTTAAGTGAAAAACTGTCTGAATGAAAAACTCAATAAATTAAAGAAAACCACTTCATGAGGAAACTAAAACCAAACATGAATTGTTAAACAAACAAGAAGCATGTCTGAATACAAGCACTGCCAAACAAGAAGTGATAGTTTGGTAGATGAATATAGGAGGAGTCACATGCATCACGTGATCATGCCATGTTCTTATTGGTGGTGATACATGATAATTTGCATAAGACACACATTGGAATATTACAATACCAATAGGGGGAGCAGAAGGCTTATGGTATGTATAAATAAAAAGTTTGCATATAGAGGGCAGCACTAAACAGGAATAGCTAATTTTTTTTTAGAGGAAGTAAGTACAGTATCAGAATATAATTTTCAACATAAAAAATATCAACCATTCTGTATATGTACATATATCTGAAGTAACTTATTTATCAAACTTGTTTGCACAGAGATACCATGTACATTTCTGTCACACAGCTTGTTAAAAGGTTTTAATCACTCGCCACTATAAAACTTACTCACACCCCATCCATCCCCAGAAAAAAACAGCATTGCAGTATGAAAATAATTGAAAGAAAAAATACATATCATTAATAACTTCATTTTAAACAACTATCTCTTTTTTTATCTATGCAGAAAAATATATTTCTTTGTTTTTACTACTAATTCAGGAGCAAACCTTACTCTGACTTGCAAACTCAAGTTCAAAGCAGAAGAGCACTCCTGAAGAAGTTATAAGATTAATCAAATTATTTTCTTCTGGAAAACTGATGACATGTCATTAGTATAATCTAAAACTGATCAAAACAATATGTAAATATTAAGTTATCAAAGAATGTCAGCTTTATCATTTTTTGGGTAGTCACATATTTAGAGGTATGTGAATATATAGCACAAGCAATACAGATTAGTTAGCTAAAGTACAACAAAATTATTAACAAACTTTTAACTTCTTTATTTGGATATTTGACAAAAAAAATCCTGTTAAATAACACAAAAATTAAAGACTTCCTAAAATTTATAAACACAAACTTAACGTACAAATACTTTGATACAAAGTTATACTTATGTTACCTTATCACTTTATATTACCTTATTTCTAAATCTTTAACAATTATCATAACTTTTGTCATTTGATGACTGCATTATTTTCTTTAGAAATTCTATCATTCTTGATTTTATAATTTTTGCTTTGATGATTTAGTTAAAAGCTACACAGTACAGGCAACAATGTATTGTGAGAACTTGTTTAACCACTGGTACGATGAAATAAGTGTTACTTGGTGCACCATCTTACTTGATATCATGACAACAACTTAGTAAAATACTGGAATTATAACTTCTTTCTGATGACAGTATGAGCTCTAAACTGAGAATTTAGCAACACCGTTGCTTGGAAACACAATACAATGATTAAACAAAAATGACTCTTTTCAATGCCATATTGCATGTAATTTCAATTGAGTTAATTTGACTGCTTATTCTTTTTTTCTTTTTTTTTTCAGAAAAGGAGCCCAGTTATTCTACGTGAAACCTAAAAAACATATCTGGTTCAATATCAATATATGTCTTTTTCTAATCCCAATAGATCAAGCACAGATATTACAAACTTTAAATACCTAAAGATACCTAATTAGCATTAATATATATATATATATTCTCTATGAATATTATTGTACATATTATTAATATATTATTTATAAATCATGAAACAAAACAATATTAGTGTTTCACTTTGCTACAAAGATCAATTTGGTAGTTCACAAAATTGAAATCATTTTGAAAGGATACTGGTTTTTCAAAATTCCTAATATCCCATATGACAACTTGATTCTGAAAAAAAAGCCAATTTAAGGGTTACTAAAAAACGTTAGGGATGGAGTACTTTAGTTCCTCTATGTGACTTTACATTAAAAAAATTATATTAACTTATTTTTATCACCTACATGTAATTACATGTATTCAGACTGACTTTCATAAATTTACAAATGATAAAGACCAACAGATGGATATTGACTGGGAAACATTTTTCCAAAACCACAATGGGAAACAATAAAAAGAATGTAAGAAATTCAAATTATAATGTCAAACTTTTAAATATAATAAAATTTCAATGCAGGTTATAAATTTGAATTATTATCTATTTTCTTTACAAATAACCTATGATAGATACTTATTTTCTCAATAAAACTTGTTTTTGGTTACTTTGGCAATATTGCATGTCCATTGATCAACAATCCACACAAAAATTTACATATTAGCAACAGAATACTGTATATATATATATATTTCCAAATCTATCAAACAGTACAGTATAAATATTCACTCACTGTACATAAATCAGCATCACTGGTTGCATTGTACATTCAAGCTTACACGTAACCACAGTATAATTGTGTGTGTGTGTGCAGCTAATAGCTCCTATGAAACTTTCACAAGAAAATTACATTCTTAAGAATTCTTTAATAATTTACTTTTATGAAGTCCAATTTCACACAGTGTCTGCTATTCATACAGGTAATATACTGTTGCATGTTATACACATATATATATACACATACAAAATCAGTGACAAATAAACAGCATCACCTCAACAAAAGATGCCAGTCGATGTTCACAAAATGGATCAACACAAACACCAAACACAGCCTTAGTTGGTGTGGATGTGGAGTGCTTAGAAGAATCTGCATACAAACATGGATTTATTCAGGCTTATACAGGTTGATAATTATTTATGTATCTCATTCTCAATAAGCAATTGGATACAAAGTTCCAAATTAAACTCTTTTTAATTGGTAAAAAGTTCACCCTGCCAAGAATGTAATCAAGTATACAATGTTTTTAATAACTGAATCTTAAAATTATTTAAAACCATGTTTTAATTTTAATACATTTATAATAGTCCTTGCTACACTGAAGTTTCTTCAGTGGAGGGAAAAAAATAATTTGAAAACTAACAAGTAAAACTGTTTATAAAATGTCAACCAGTTGTAACATATAAACTAAATACAAACTAAGAGTTTTACGTGGTTGGAGATGTTTAATAATAATCATCATCATCATTAAATCACACAAGTTTAGTTAAATTACTGTTTAGTGAATATGGCAGGTGACTGCAAAATATTATGAAAGACTCAGTTCTTTATTCAATGTTATTTTTATGTTTATGCTATTCAAACAATGTATATAAATAAATTGGCTAACTAGCTACTCAATTATTTCTAAATGCAATATGTTTTAAATAAAAACATTACCATTTCTGATGATATTAAAACATGTTTTCATTATTAGTTATCAATTTATTTGATTCACAGAAAATCAGTGTGGGACTACTGCATATTTTAAAAACAAATATAATGGTGACCACATGCTGTTATTGAGTTGACAGTAGCAATTTATTTACAAAGTAGGTCTAATGTATGAAACCAAGAGAAATCAGAAATTCACCTAAAAAAAAACAACAATGTTAATACCACATGAAAATAATGCAGTGTCCAAAAAAATTTATGAAGCTAGCACAGACATGCCTTTTTTATTTTGCTCATATGGGTGTGTGTGGTGGAGGGGGGGGGGTATTAATCTATTAACAAATACCATAAACCATCCAGCTTCTACTGGTAACTACTAGCTATTGAAAATAGATTGATATATCTAAGTATTTACAAATACATAAATGAGCAAACTCACCTCTGAGGTCAAATACTTTTAAATACTTATTGGTCATACCACAAAATAACATTTTCTGCTGCTGAATAGACCAATGCAAAGAATGGACAGTTTCTGACAAACCTATTGTTGTAACAAATGTTTAATAAAATTAAAAAATATCTGAATAAAACACAACATAAAATAATGACTTGTGAAAAGATTATGTCATAGTAACATTTGGTTCAGTCCTCATATTTCCATTTTTTAATCATTTTACAGTGAAGATAATTTATCTCTAAAAATATTTAGTTTTAAAATAACATTACAGGTTTGAAATAGTATTATCTAAAGATCAAATTAAACCCAATATATATGAGAACATCAAAGTTTAAAATAAAATAGATAAAGTACATTTTAGAATCTGAGTAGTCAAATGAAACATATGCTAGATCTAAAACAAAAAGTTATTTACCACAATGCCTATAATGATCATGACAAGTGCATTAATAACTGATCTAATATTAATCTAATGTTAATTTGATAATTAATGAAAGTTGCATACCATTTAGGTAATTAAATCTTGAAGTGAAATATGTCTTTAACAATATGAAATGTGAATACCAAATAACAGAAATAAAGTAATAAAATCATATATAAAAAATGTATTAGGTCTCTAACAGATCTGTGGCCTCTCCTGTTGAGACAGTCTTACTTACAAGTCAGTTTAAGTATTTCTACATCACCATTCTTCTTACATTTATATGAAACTTTTGTTGTTTGTTTGTTCTATACAGCAAGAGTGAATTAAGAACAAAATTCAATCATATATAGGTGATGGAATTAAAAATAACAGATGGAAATATCAAATAAAGTTAATATAGAGATACTACATGGTAGTGTGTCAATTTATCTAATAGTAAAGAAAAATAATAATCTCTCTTCTACACTGTTTTATTATAACTTATACTATTATAAAGCAGAAATTAATAAACTGTAAACAGGAAACTGTTTTATAAGAAACACTGAATTTCACAGTATGTTTTCAGAAATGTTGTTTTAAGCAAAAATACATAACCATATACACTTTCCCCATCAGATCTGATTACTAACATAATCATCACAGTGAATACAGATTACCTAGTTCAAATAATGGTCTGGATGTTGGCTGATTTCCTGTATGATCCCCTGTCAAAAACCCAGCGATATGTTGTCGTCGATCAAGTCCCTCACTTTCAAAAGTTGAAAGCTGAGGCTGAGCAACATCCCAAATAAGTAAGGCATAGTCAGATCTATTTTTATCCAAGCCTGCTGCTAGCTGTAAAATATTTGTTATATTAAATTCAATACAAAACCTTGAATACAAAATAAAGTACCAAAAACTTAAAAGTATTGTAGCCTTATATTCAAACATATTTACACTTTTCAAATAAAAATCTTGTCATTACAGTTACCACTGTAGTCTACAGAATATAAATGTACTTATTTAGATAACTTATATCAGAAACTGAGGACAATTAAACTTGCAGATACTGCTTTAAACATATCTTAAACCCAAATTAAAACAGCCTAAAAAATAAATGCACAGATGCAAACTAAAGGGCTCAGCTTGAAAGACCAGTATTAAAAACATTGTCAGATAATTTTTTAAACTGCCTCTCAATTCCATATAATGTGGCAGTACACTACTTGACAAAGCAGTTGATACACATCTGTGAAGGTTCAAATGCTCAGTTATTACATAACTCTTTGCTGCCAAGAAATACTTAACTGTACTGTTGTAGCTGACAAGAGACAATTGATCATAATACTGCAAACATAAAATAAAAACAGCTACATATTAACTATGACACCTTCTGGGGTGACTGTAACATTAAAACTATCATACAGTTATTCAGTTTACTTTATTGGTATAAATCTGTTTGTTTGTTTAGAATTTTGATACAGAGCTACACACAAGTCACCTGCATGTAGCTGTCCCAAGTTTAGAACTGATAGACTAGAGGGATGGCAGCTAGGAAACAATCACCAACAACTCTCGAGCTGCTCTTGTCTGAATAAACATTAGAAACTCAAAATGACTTTCACCTTGCCCATCTACTTTTAAACCTGTTTTTCTCTGCCCTACAAACAACCCATAATCCCAAGACTTAGTGGATTACAAAAACTATATTTTAGAAAGACCTAAGTAATATGCTTGTTTTGGACTAACAAAGTAAAAAACAATGGCCCAAACTTACCTCTCGCCCCCCAAAAAAAAGTTATTATAACTCAATAAAGGATATATATATCACAAAACAAAGTGCCTACTTGTTTAATGAAGAAAAACTGTCAGTACCCACTGAAAATTCTTTGTTTCCTCAATGTTTTGCCTTATGGCTTTATCAAGAAGTAAACACCCTACAGAACACAATCCTAGTCGTAACAAAGTAATAACAATAATAAATGACAAGAATCCTACAGAACACAATCCCAGTCATAACAAAGTAATAACAATATTAAATGACAAGAATCCTACAGCATACAATCCCAATTGTAACAGAGTAATAACAATAATAAATGACAAGAATCCTACAGAACACAATCCCAGTCATAACAAAGTAATAACAATAATAAATGACAAGAATCCTACAGAACACAATCCCAATCGTAACAAAGTAATAACAATAATAAATGACAAGAATCCTACAGAACAAAATTCCAGTCGTAACAAAGTAATAACAATAATAAATGACAATAATATAAATGTGGTGAAGAAAACGTTCATTTGAAAGCAAAAATAATAAGATCAGTAATGTGAGCATTCACACATAATAAATTTGTTGAGGTAAACTGTACATGTAGTTTTGTCACATCATTAAACATGTTAACTCCAGTGTGAACTAAACAACCTGAAACTGCATACTTGGCAAAAAAGTAGATAACACATATGTCAAATTGTCCAGTTTAGTTGCTTAACTTCTTTATATCACACACAGTTATTGACTGATAAATCATACCATACTCAAGGAAAGAACAAGTTTAATTTTTTTTCCATAACATTAATGAATTTTAAAATGCTTAATATTTCATTACATTTAATTTGATGACATTTTTTTTACAAGCACCTATACGTACAATGTTGAATTTCCTTGGTATTATCAAATACTTTAGTTGGTATTGTTCATTTCATCTCAATGCACTATATATATACATGCATTATAATGAAAACTTTTCTGATTCCCACGAAATTCTATCTTTCAATACCTAACAAGTGACAATTAATCAAAAGATTTCAGAAATAAAATAAATTTAGTTACACATTTGTTTTGCTACCATTTAGGGTAACTGTGTGTAATTAACATTAAAAATCATGCAAGCATTCAGTTAAGTAAAAACTCATTAGTACAATATCAATCGTAAAAACAATTCTCCCTACGTCACTCTTATTTATATTTGTTATGCTGATTTCCCTACATATTCCACAACTTTCTCTAAGTTTCCTCCACATGTTGATTGTTTAATTTCAATACTTGTGTGTTAACTTGTTTTTCATGCACAAAGCTTTGGTACATCCTGCGCTCTTCCACTTGGGAAGAAGATTCATAAATACTGTAAAAGAGGGTTAATCTAGAGAATATTAACAAATGAGCAAACACACAAATGATGTTGTGATGATGACTTACATTGTCAACAGAAATGATAATTTCTTCATGGGTCAAGCCTTCTCAAAAATAGCTGTTCGTTATCAAACACTTGTAGAACATACATTGAAGTTAGCATTTTGTTAATATTTGGATGCTACAGAAAATTATGTTGAGAACATACTACATAAAATATTTTTCATTATGCTTATAAATCACTGTTTGTCAATTTACTATTGCAAATTCTATAACCTATACATGCAAAGATTCTATAGCATCTAAGACATTGCAAATAAAATAAATAATTTTATGTAGTATGCTCTCCATATGATTTTCATTATGCTTATAAATCACTGTTTGTCAATTTACTATTCTATTAATATAATTTGCTTCCATACACAGGTATGTAATTTTCATTATAAAAATCTTAATATTTTTAAATCAGATGTAATTAAGTGAAAATAAATATTATGATGCATTATAAAATTCTGGTACAGTTTAAAATGGAGGAAATTTAATGACTAATAGAATTCAGTGTTTTAAACAAAGATCATCTACTTATAAAACATGAAATGATGGGAATCACATGTTATGAAGACATCTTAAAGATATTGGGCATACCACAATGAATTACCAAACCTCAAAATCAAACAAAGGTAAAAGAATCAGACCAGTAAAAGTTTGTGCCTGGCAGATGCTTCAGCTGAGTTTCTATTCATATTCCTGAAGTATGGGAATTAACTGAGAACCCAGGAGATAAGCAGGTATGTTGTTTGTATATCTAAAGTATAAAATATCAAACTGACTCTTTCAGTACAGTAAAACCTACACTGGTGATAGATTTGGATTTAAACTTTTGGGGTTTTTCAAGATATCTTAACTGAAATAAATCTCTGTTAAAGATAAATGCAGAAAAAAATATCAACTAAAACACACAGCAAGTGAAACACAAAGCAGTACACTGCCACATTTATAGATATACAACTCTTACAGTATCAACTTTAAAATACACAAGTAAAAATACATAGATAGATTTTAATATTTCTTTACATATCTGAAACTTGAAATTGATAAATTCTAGGTAGTATGAAGAGGTACGAAACGTCTAGCTCACATGTGATTAATATAATACTTTTCAAGGCTAAATCAAAGACCCATATATGTATCCATGGCAGTGAAAGAGTTAATGCTTCACCATTGTCTCATTAGATTACATAGGATAAAAATACTAACTGATTAACATACCAAATTACAGTCTATTGGACTCCACGCTACAGCATTACACTGCCGAGCTTGTCGTGGAACTGTACGTATATGTGAATAATAAACATTAGTGGTTAGATTTCCTTCAATATGGAAAGAGTGTTGTTGAAAGCATTGTTCAAAAAATTCATTTATTATCAACAAAGTTAAAGAAATTTGGACTTTATCAAGTACAATCTACAATAATTTTTTGACTATAAGAATATGAATTAGATATTTATGGACTATCCACACTATTTGCCCTAAGCTTTAGTAATTATGGATACATGAGAAAAACAAGGGCTTTGTTTGTAACTTAATGTTCATATATGCACATTAACTATGGTACATATTACCAGTAAATAAGTCCTATACAACAATTATCATCATCACATATGCAATACCAATTTTTCAAATCTTAATTTGTTCATTTTTTTTTACTATGTTCAAGCATATCTATCTAGATCACACAGGTGTTTTATTACACAATTATTGAAAAAAAACTAATTCAATCCAATGTTAAACAATCCATAACAATTCTCTAATTACTACGTTTGAAGTCAATCAACTGTCTAGGAGTTGTACATGCGGAGATCTAACACAATATATTTTCATTTTTCGAGCATACCTGTATCTTCTGAGAGTCTAACAGAACAAAACTGAGCTTAAAAATGTAGTTTTTAATATGGCAGGTAAATACACCAAGCCTTGTGGTAAAGAACTGAAGAGACATAAGCTATTATAATAATGAAATAAAATAATAATAATAAAAGACAATACTTTTCCTTTTTTTCTTCATTAATAAGGATGCTTTAAATATTACTGCCAAATATTTGCATTTTTATATTTGAAAAATTCTCTAAATCCAGTATAAATAAATTTGGGTTTTAAAGAGGCAAAAATAGAGATTTATTTTGTTTCTTTATGTTATTATCATTCACAGGGCTCGATTTTAAGGAAATTTCCAGGTTGTACAGGAGGCTGTATTGGTTATTCTAAAAATAAAACATAGACCCTCAAAAAAGATCCAGTTACGACAATATTGATGTACAAAGACCCTAAAAAAAAGACCCAATTACAAGAATTTTGATGTTTTTAAATCTTATTTATTTCCAAAAAGTACAATTACTGTTTATTTGGCAATTTTACATCTTTATTCAACTAATTTTTGACACCTTATTTCCAGGGACATTTTGTTACAGTGAAAAAAATAACCCCAAACCATGCTAATATTAAATAGTATCTTAAGGAAACAAACAGCCAATAACTTGTAAAACATTTAAACTATACAGTAATCTTGGCCAATCACATTCAATGTTTTCATCTTACCAGCTTAGCATGCCCACAAAGTACAGCCTGTAGTAATACTAGACTTGCAGCAGAACTTTCACACCTATACACACAATGCCTGAGTACTGCACATGTACACACACACAGTGCTGACATGTCCTGTCGTTCATACTTGTAGTTTGTATTGGCCTGGAGAGAGGCAAAGCTAGCCTTTTTTTATTTATTGTTATTCTATTTCGTACTGATTAAAACTTTCCTAAAATTGTGTTTGCAGTTATCATTATTATGATCTGTTTAATTTGTAGATTTGTCTGCTTTTTTCATTGTAGCTAGGTCTTCTGTATTTCCTACACTTCATTTGTTGTGTCTGTCTAATGTTAGCCTTAGGCCTATACGTGCGTAAACAAAGGGGGTGTCAATGTTTCAACTGTGATGATTAATGATGAAAATTTTGAGTTTGACTTCGTAAGTATGACTGTTCAAGTTTCGGTAATAAGTTGAGACAGTCATGTTAGTTTTATGGTCATAAGCATCTATACTAGAAATTAATCTCACTAAATATTTGTGTTAGCAGCATTTGTTTTCATTGTGAATTCCCACTTGCCCATATATATCCATAAAAACATCACGAAATACAATTTGTAGTAATAGTTTCATTTTGAGTTTACTCACTGATTAAGTATATATACATGTATATATATATATATATTTATTTATTTATTACAATTTTTTTACATTGGTTGAATGTTGATCTAAATACAAATCGCTTTTACCATTAAAACCTGTGTAATTGAGAATGATCACACCAGTGATCAAAACATCATGCCTTTTTTCAAAAATAAATCTTACTTACTGTAAAGGTTGTAACTTGTAGAAAAAAAAAAGGTGTGGTAATGCAATTAACTGAGCTGTATACATTGTACTGTGTTACCACACACAGCCATTCATGCGCAGTTGTACTCCATAAAAAATTTACATGCAGCTTGTCCATGATTGAAAGTTTAGTGACTGAAACAGCATTATTAGCCAATCACAAAAAGCGAACTTTTCCTAACATTTTCAGTCCATTTTGGTGGAATTTCCAACAATTCTTTTGTACAAAGTACAATCTTTTTTAAACAAAAAATAGACCAAAAATATTTTTGTGGGGGTTCAAATTTTCGAGTTCGTAGTTAGGGAGTTTACCAATGATTTTCGTTAAGGATCAGTCAATATTACATATGTAGTGTTTGCATAGATAAGTCTATAGTAAACTACGATGCTGTTATGAGTAAGGGTCTGTTCTAGAGTGCCAGTTGTCTGTCGGACAACACAAGGGATTAAGTTGATTGTCTGAGGAAGTTTTTTCATTGTCTCAGATGACTAGACAACCATTAAAATCAAGCCCTGATTCAAATTCATAAATTATTAAAAAAATGCTTATATTGCAGGGAAGTTTCCTATTTGACTTTGTTGCCAAATAATTCACTGTACTACAATAGAATATAGTTATTTCACATTTATTTATTTGTACATTCAGAAATTCTTTCAATAACCTTGGTTTTGATTATTATAAACATGTAGTTTAACCTTCAGGAATTTTCAATACGAAACTTCTATCATAACTTCAGGCTAGTTTATTAAGCATGACACAAAATAAAAAATTTTTTATATAAGTGACAATTTGAATAACTTTGGAGAAAACTTGAGTGTCCTTGCAAACCTATGTATTATAATAAATGAACATATATTGCTCTTATTTAGGCCAAGTGTTCCAGTGGATTTTGGCTATAAGATAGTCTTAAATGTATATATATATATATGTATATATCTGCCTTAAGTTTTGAAGTCAAATTTAGAGTAGAGCTAATAAGTTGTTTTAAAATGAAAAACTTGTTTTTGATGCTTGGGAATAAGTTAAGCTTAATAAAGTTATTGTTTTGCCATCAGAAATTCTGTGCAAGTGTATTTTCTAACAAATTATAACTTTTACTATTTAACATGTGTCAGTCGCATCAAGCTCAAAAATTTAAGTTGAAAACCTGTTGTTTAATACCAAACTGGTTTAACAAAAGCACAAAAGTTTTAGACAGTAAGCCATGCATAATAAAAAGTTTAATTCATTCCTTTGTTAAACAAAAATACATAAATTCAGAAACAAGAAGTATTAGACGGACTAGAAAAGTAAAATATCACTAATAACTTACCAAACTCTTGTCCAATCAAATCTGATGATTCAAAGTTTTGACTGAAGCTAGACAAAAAAAAAATATTTCAAACAACTTCCAAAAAAGAGAGTTATAGGTGTTAATTGTTCCCTCTAAGTTATTAAAATCTAACACAATTCACTGACTTTATACAAAGTGGCAGTAAGAAGATTTACATTACTATCAGCATGGTAAAAAACATGGGTATTCTAATATAAATACATGTATGTGAATAAAAATATGAGTCTGCTCACATCTAAAACACACATTATATTACTAGATTACCTTAAAGCTAGAAAATGGTACTGACTAGAGGCAAGCGAAAGTTACTGAAAGCAAATGGGAAGTTTTGTGTGCTCACTTCTAAATCAGTTCTGCTGATTATTTTATGAATGTTAAGGAACAATCACGTGCACTTTTTATATTTGAAGTAATGCATATATGAGGATTCAAAATATACATTTTAAGAGTTTATACATTAAATGTAAGACAGAGTAACTTAAATATCCATATATTGCTGATAAGGTTGATAATCTTAAATTATTACTTAGTACAGTTTCTTCCCCATATGAACTGTTAAATGTTTTGTTTTCTGTACAATACAGACTAGTGCCTTCAGTGATTTTGAACTGATACCTAGGAAATAATGTATTTGAGTGATATTACTGTGGTGTATTGCTCTCTAGAAGCAATATTACCCGAGTTATCAATTAAATTTAAAATGTATCATTACACCATAATGGCTGACTAGATTGAGGAACTTATTGTGAAATATCACTACACACAGTAAAAACATGGATGTTTAATGTTAAAAATAGTGTTGACAAAACAATTTTTTAAGGCAGTAAAAATGTCATTATTATACTTTATGTGATTTGTAAGGACACATATTGTAAAAAAAAAGGCACCATGTGAGTAGACTATTGTATAACTTACAATTACTTTGCATTAGGAAATTGTACTACACAAATTAGAAAAAATGCATTATAGTAAAGCAGTATAGGTAATTAACTGCTTTCGTAATTAAGAAGAGATTAGATGTACATTTGGCTAATTAACTGGAGTCTCTATTCAGGCTATGTAATGTCTAAATATTATCATCAGCTGTTATAACGTAAATGCCTTTTACAAGCTAGCAAAGCATGGTTACAATTATAGTTGTCAAAATAATAGTATAATTATCATCATCAATTTAACAGTTCACATAATGTTACATGAAAGGCATTTATTTTGTACAAGTATTGTTATTATTTCCAGGTAATATGCAACAGTGTTTAAATTTTTATGGTTAGCAATTAAACTATTTTTATAACTAAAATGTCTTAGACTTCATGTTTTTATGTAAAGATATTATAATCAGTGTGTAACATGTTTAAACATGAAGTTGCAGTTACTGCTGTTGCTAACTTTTATTTTAGAACACTGACTACTCAATAGGCTTGAGGAAGCAAATTGAAACAACTGGTTAATGTCAAATCAGTAGGCAAATACAGTTTTGCTCCTTAATTTGATTCGCTAGGGAGGAAGTACAGTAATAGCCAACAGTCAGCATCATGAAGCCAAAGAAAGCTTGACTAAATCAGAAAACACTGAATCTGACTCTTGGGAAGGAAATATGTTTTCTTCCAAGCTGTAACCTAAAACAATTTTTATGGTGTAAACATATTCACAAATCTTGCAAAGAGACAAGATTTAGAATGAAGTGTTAAAAACATAATAGGCTTAATACTAATTTAATGTGACAAATGTAACTAATCATAAACAACTGCTATTGCAACAAATGGCTTATGTAAAGTGTTCCAACCACTACTGTGTTTGTTGTGTCCCACCTGACCTGATAAGCCCTGGATTGAGCGAAATGTCTAGTCGGCAATGGATATGATAAACAATACAGTTCTCTGGTTATTTGAAAATCACTAAGGGACTAGATAAAGAATGAAGTGTTAAGAATTATACTAGGCCTAATACTAATGTCACATAACAATAATTATCATATTTAAATTTTCGTAATATATTAATATGAATCAATGCCACACTGTAAATATGGTATAATGGTGTTAATTTTGTTTTTAAGCACAAAGCTACACAATAGGTTATCTGCTATCTTTTCACCACAGGGCATCAAACCACAGATTTTACCATTTTAAATTCTTAAACTTACCACTGACCCACTGGGAGACACATAATATAATTGAAATACTTTACGTGCTTTTTAGTTCACCAATCTAGATCTTATAGAAAAACGAACACACAGTGTATCAACAGGTACATCTGTACTCATATTAACAAAAGTTTTTGTTAGCATAACTTTGTAGGTGCACAATCAAAACTGCAGAGAATGTATTAATATTCGAAAGTTTTGAATATATGAATTTTCAAGTATACATAATCCACGAGGAAAATGCAATAGGATTAATACTAAAAATTTAATATTTTAAAATCTTAACTTTCGATTTATACACAATAAAGTATGCAGTGCAAAAGCCATCAGGCCTACTTTAAAATATGACTGAAAAAAATGTGAATGCAAGTGACAGAAAACATAATCTTAATTAAATAAAAAATGTCAAGTTGGACATATATGTTTCTTGCAGTAGTAATAACTACATTTAATGGAGCAGTTGCTTGATTAGTGAGTATGCGATAAAAGTAGTTTTATTCTGGTTATTGATATTATCAAACTTTTTTGTTCTTGACACACAAATAAAAATGAGTTATTATGGCTTAATCTTTTAATAAATTGCTTAATAGTTTAAAATTATTCACACCATTAAAGGCATAAATTCAGCATATAATATAATGACAAACTTTAGAGATTATACAACAACAAAAAAAACATAAAGACATTCACAAGAAAGTACTATTAGAGACTATTGAATTGGATGGCAGATTATCAAGTCTAATACTTCCCCCTTTTTCAAGTCAGCATAAAAATTTTAAGAACTAGGACAAATTCAAAAACATAAGTATGCATTAACAGAAAAAGAAAAACTCAGAGAAGAATTTATGTCAACAATGATCATATCAATGGAGCACTTTTTGAATAGTGTACCTTTGACACCATTTGATAATTAATACATCTAGAGGTTGTTTCAATTCAGATGAAGTTAAATCATTATAATGGCTATAATTTAACTAATACGAAAAAGTTATTAAAATCAAAAAAGGTAATAACTACATCCAGAAATGGCATAAACATGCAAATTATGTGCCTATAAACAGAAGATGTAATTAAATGTATCTATATGTTCATAGTTGCATGTATCGCACATTGTGTTGTGCAAGTAAACCTCCAATGAGTGTGTTTAATATGTGGCTTATTCAACCCTATTGCCATGGGTATCATTTACTGTGTATGACACAAGGTTTTAGTGTCTTACATTCAAAATTTTATTAAATTATTTTTTGTTTATGTTATACCAATTAGAATAGCATAAAATCTTAGCTAATAACCCATATTTTAATAGTATATACGTTAAGTTCTTAATTATACAAGGCAATATTAAAAAAAAATTCTGAATTTCCCCTAGTGTGACCCATTTTCTCTTACCACATCATCTTCCCTATTTTATCCACCACCCCTAGAAAAAGTATGAAATTAAACATAAATTACTCTCTATAAAGTCATCATTACTCAGAGAAACAATAATTTTTATAGTCTTCAATTTTGTTTGTTTACAGAGCTATTGAATAAAAAATCCGACCCCCTCCTGCCACACCTACCTGTCACATCCTCTCTTTCAGAATTCATTGATAGTTCTCTCTTACGTTTAATTTTTATTACCTATAACCAACAGAAAGTCAAGGTTTTCATCTATCAAATGACGTATTGAATAATGTTATGTTCTGAACAGTTAAATGTCAATTTCACTCAGACTACCAACATCGTTCCCGTGAGAAAATTAACGACTAGCTTGGATGAATTTGTAACGGCTCTTGTCGCATAGTTATAAAGACAGAAAAAGGTAAGGGAATTTTTCTACTCTTAGCATGTTATAAGTCTATATTCTTTGATGCATTATTTAATTAAATGAAAATTATTAAGTGCATTACTACCATTAGTATAAAAAATTAGGGTTAACTTCTCTTCGACATTCAACAGCAGGAAAAAAGAAGATTGGTTAAGTATTTAATTTTTTGTTTTTCATGTTTATTCTTTATGTATAATTATAAAAGTAACTAAAATGTAAAAATAGGGATCCTTTTTAGTTAGCTAAGATCAGATTAGGTAAAATAAATAATAATAATATTATAATAAAAATGTTTCACGAGGCACAGCTCGTGGGTAATGTAAAACGTTAGCATAATCTGAGCTGCACGTTTCCCAAGTGATTTACAACTTATAATGGCACGGACAGTAGTTAAACACAGTTCAAAGAGTAATAAAACAACAAAATTTAATTATAAATAGATGTATACTGTTACAAACTGAGAACTACTAAGGATAAATGAATGTAGTTTCATGTTAAAATTTGAAGTCATTCTAGAAATAAAAAAAGGATAATTTAGAATTATCTAAATATTTTTTTTTGGGGGGGGGGGTTATGAGGTCGGTTTAATTGACCAATCCTATTTAGAGATAGGATTGAGAAAATAACAGATAAACTACAGTTTTACTGAAAAAAAGCGTTTGAAATGCATTGGGGAGGTTTTAGGAATTACACAAAGGAAATTTGAAATTTTTGAGATGAGGAAAAGTATTTTTAATTCTAACATGAAAATTACTTTGCACACGGACTATTCAAAACAAATACTCAATATATTCATGGAGAAATATTTATTTTATTTTATTAAAAATACTTCACTAAAAAGGATTTTTTGTACATGAAAGACTTATAATATTAATTGAAAGATTAACAAATTTTGTGAATATGTATACACACTATATTGAAAGTTAGAAGTGTCAAATCTATAAAGACTTTAAACAAGTACAAAGAGGTCACATGGTCGATCAAATTGACTGAGCCCATGTAGAGAGTTAACAACTGATCCAAAATTTTAAAAGTAAGCACCGTATAGTATTTAGGGGTAAGAAAGACCAACATTTGCAATTCATAATTTAAACTATTCATTTATCCAATGATATACAATACAAAGCAGTTTTTACAAAGTGTATATGAAAAACAAATCTTAAATTCTAATGGCAATATGTCAATACAGTTTCATAGATATTTAGCTACCTGGTCAGCACAACTTTTCCATTTGCTTGTCCCACAGCTAGTAAGTTGTCTGGTTCATGCCTAGGGTACCATGCTATACACTAAAATAAAGATAATTCCAGTGTTATTCACTATAGTACTCTGTATGCATCTCATGTTTAGAATGCCTCATGAAAACAAAGTTGATTAAGCCATTATGGATAAATTATAAATGAGTCCATCTCCCTATGTAAACCATCAATAGTTTTGATGGCAGAGTGCAACAATGAATTAGTACATTAGAAGAAGTATTCTGATGTCAGTCTTAAACCACACTAATAAAGTTAGCAATACAACATTAAGCCTTTAAATCATAAATCTACTATAAAAATATAAGTTTATTAAAATTACAACTTTTTTACTCCCATTTCATTTTTTTTATATTTCTTTCAACCTTTCTTGTACCAGGAAATAGCATGAGTAAATGAGAACAAAAGTCATGTTTGTAAAGATGATTGTTTTTTAGATTATTTATTTATTTATTGAATGGTATAGTTAACACAGAGAAACTACAGTTAACAACTGGACAGTACAAGATTTTTAGGGTAAACCACAATGCTTTCTTATGCAGAGCTTACAACTTCCAGAAAAAAATATATAGCTACAAGAAGCAACAATATCCCAAAGTGGAACATATAATTACTTAAGAGCAAATTGTTGAAGGTACTAAGAGAAATTTGAACCACATTCTTCAATAAGAAAATAGCAACAGAAACCAGATGTAGAGACTGCATCTACAGTTCATATCCAAAAAGTAGTGAAACCAAAGTCCGAGTTGTATTCTATTTTGTGTGATGTTTTAAGGTAATTGTATTCCTCAGATTTTGTATCATTGACTTAAAGAAATATGATAACTCAGACCTAAGTTTCATTATCTTTTTGGGTTGTATGGGTATGTCTTTCATTCAAACCTTGAACAGGAAATAACTATAAATCGAGAAACCTTTACAGGTAAACTTATATTTTATTGTATATAAGTGGTATGTTTTCTCTAGTATAAAAAAAGAAAATTAAGTGTTCAAAAATAGGAATACAAGTTTTAAGAGAAATTTCATAAAAATATGTTACTAAAGTAGCAGGAGAAACACTTATATCAAAGTATTGAATACCGTTTATCCACAACTACTACTAATATTTAAACTAGAACTATAATACATTTAATGTAAAAGGAACCACATACTTAACTAAAACTTTTATCATACATAATAATATAGTTAAAGCATAAAGCTAAGAAAAAAATATTCTCTCACAAAGTTAAATCAAGTTTTTTCATATTTATAAAACAAAACATTCTGTCAAGAAAATTGTATTATGTTCTATCCTAATTAATTCTCACATAAAGTATACATACGTACTTTCATATAATGGTTGTCAGAATTAATAGAGAGTAATGCAGCACATGAGTTGTCAGACAGTGGAATGGCTGAAAGATAATTAGGAATCAAATTTTATCAGTGAACATACATAAACATTTTATCTGATGTGCAATGGTATATATATAGATATTTATATCTATCCTGAACTGTTTGACAAATTTAAAACTATTGTCACTTGCAGACATTCATTTTACAATTATAATACTGAATGAGATATTTTGCTGACCATAAAACAGACTTTGTCATAAGAAAACCAGTAACTTTATATAGCAATGTACACAATACAAGGAACAATTTCCACTCAAATATTTTCAAAAATGAGATAATATCCAGCAAAAGAAAGTTGCCATTAAATAAAGACCTAGCTGTTGTCAATTGCTGCTCTACACTTCTAGATATTCACTTCTTATTTAAGTTTTTTTAACATCTGCTACATGAGCTAGCTTAGCATCTTGATGTGGACCTTAAAAATAAGTCATTGCAGAAAGGTTTGAGTTGTTTTGATTAGACAAAAAAAAGATGTTTGGCACTATTTTTGAGGTCTAGGTCGCTGGACCAGATCCATGACTTGACATGAGAGCCAACATGGAGAAGTTAACTTGTAAATAAGTAAAACAATGTAGCAATGAAACATGCTTGAAACGTTCTTGATGTGGTTGTGAATATTATGGTTTAAGTGTAGTGATTAAGCTAAACCATAGATCCAGGTCAGATGAGGGAAAAACTTATTCGAATATATCCCAAGTGATTTGATATACTAGCTAAATTGGAGATTCATCAATTGATTACTACATTGACAGGGAAACATAAAAGAATGAGTACAATAATATTGTTATCTTAATATAGGGGGATTGGAATCATATATAAAAAGTCATTAGTTTTGTGAAACTAAAGACACAGTAAAGCCCAAAGATGCAGTGTTGTAGTTGAAGCAGATACACAATGCATTACAAGTTGACATCCTTAGCAATTCTTAGATTAAAAATACCATTTCTGCAATGAAGAGTAAAATATAAGAAAGATGGTATAATGCCCAGTTTGGTACCACTGTAGTATCATCCATATACATTTCATCATGTCATACTTTGACTAATATTTATTTGTTTTAAAATCTTCATTCATTGAGATTATTCAAATAACTCTAAATCATCAGTTTCCAGAATGACTCCCCTCCCTCCCCTTGTTGACCATCCTAGGCTCAGTACTAAAAGATGTTGGGCTGGCTCATGTGGCAGGCTTTAAAAAAAGTGTGTTCTAGCCTATAGAATTAACTGTATATACTTTTAAGAAGTTTTCTGTGTCTACTGAGCTAAAAGTATTTCGTAATTGCACAATTTTCTATTTAACTCTCAGCTAATATAATTTAACAGATTAACTTAGTCGTGAACAATCCTTAACATGCATTAAAACCGCACACTAACATAAAACACATTTCAAAGACTTCAAGAAACCACACACACACACACATATACATTTAAACAGAATATTATCATAATACAATATGAACAAAACTCAAACATAATTAACTTTCTCAAGATACATCTTTTCTACTTGTGCTTCAAGAAAAGTTTTGAGAAATTTTTCAACAACTGAAAATCATGCTACTAACATAGCTACACTACTATAAGAAAAAAAAGTACCAAAGTACATTATTTACAAGTAATGTGCAGAATAACACAGGTTTGGTTGTCAAGAAAAAAGGCTTTTTATCTGTGTTTAAATAAAAATTTTAGTAAAAGGTGAACAACAATTTTAGTTAGTCTTATAATGCTTACATTGATGAGTTCACACAAAAACTAAATGGAGAAATCACATTTATATGGTGAAGAAATGTAAAATATGGATGTATATGCAGTATAACATAAACATAGTATTTAATTTAACAAAGGAATATAAACAAGTTCCAAATAGCTTTATGATATACACTTAATACTTTCTATAGATAACTGAAATAGAAAGTTATCTTTTGGTAAAAAGGTTTTTCTGAGAAATTTAACAAATGAAATGAAGATCAACTAAAACTGAATTCAAACTAGAAATAACAATGCAAAAAGGAGTAAGATTTCGCTAGAATTGCAAATTTCAAAATGTAATATAAACCACTGTCAAACACCTAATACTACTAGTTCTCAAAAATTTCTTTCACTGTAATTTCTATATATCTTGAAAAAAAAACTAAATTATTTAAAACTACTTTCTGTAGGTGAGAGCTTTTTATGTCAAAAACAGTACCTGATGACTTGCTGCATCCATCTTTCAAAGTCTCTAACTGATAGAGCCTTAGGTCTGTTCCGAAAGTTATAAACCTAATATGAATAAAAAAATATTCAAGAACCAGAATGGGTAATCATCTATAGCTAAGTATCATTATATTTAATTCTACCTATTTGGATTCTTCCCTACTTGACACTGAAAGTTGTTAGAAATTATTTCTATAATGTGCTCCTGAGGCTATTCTTTTTATAGCTAATACAACTAGAACTTTGTATCATATATTAAGTACAAATCACTATGAACATCACAGTTTACAAAAAGTAGGAAAATTATTCTATTGTAAGTTTGGAAAGTAAACTTTTTTTAGAAAAGGCTGCCTATATACAATTTTAACATGAATAGGGAGCACATTAATCAAATTATGTACATAATAAGCCATATTTTCATGTCAATCATAATTTATTTTAAGACATGCAACAGCTAACAATATAGTCTTAGTGTATGCACAGACAAGTAACAGGTAAAGTTCCAAACCTCACAAAACATTCAGGATGAAAGAAGAAAAAAGAGAGACATAATAGACAAGAAAACTCAAAGACCATTTACTCCACAACCAAAACATTCCAGAACATGAAACCAAAAATGATTCAATAACTACTTCATAAACATAAAACAACAGTCATTAAATAACAAAAATCTGATTCAGGTGTGACAGCCTAACTAGCATTCGATTTCATAATCCCTAAAAAAACAACAAAGGAAAAAAGTGTGTATTCTAGAAACTTTCATCTTGACTTTTGAATAAATAACTGTACAATACATGATGTGCCGTACAAAAAAACAACTAAATACCAAATATTTTCCACTCATACTCATAAAAAAATTAACACATCAATGGTTGATCTTTATTATGTAGATCACAAGTTCATGCAATAGATTTCAAAACCACAGAACAAAATGCTGAAATGCATACTTGTTTATACAAAGTACAAACATTATCAACTTTATACTATTGTCAAAAACAAATCAAATATCAGAAGTAATGTGTTCATTACCACCAAGAACAGTTATCTAAAATGGCTAAAGTGCTATCATTTGTACTAAGGATTACAGATTGTAAATTACAACTGTTAATCACAATAAAAGTGACAGACAATTTTCATTATGTATACTGGTACCATTAACTTAATACAAGAAATGTCAGTGAAATTGATTAGAGAAAATACTGAATACATATCTACAAATTACTGATTAATATTTACTAGCATGCATTAAATTTTTAAATTAAAATATTACATCATCAAATAAGTGCTGTGAAATGGTTACCATGAGTAAATTTTCTTTAAATAACATTACAACACTAAGTAAATAATTAATTGCTGATAAAACAGACTTAAATCAATAGCATCACCTAATTTTTTGTGTTTCTTTAATAGTCTATATTTTGCTCCAATAATACTTAAGTGAAAAGGAAACATGAAAAAGGGCCTTGTTGTTTACAACTTACATATTTGACGAGTTATTGAGAGAGATGCACACAGTCCTATTAAAATTAGTCAAAACATTTAACCAGATATCCCACATACTGGAACTAACATACACGTCATACAAAAAAAGATATATATATATATGTATGTACACAGAAGTTCCAGCTGACCTGTAAGTCAATAAATATACGAAGTTACCAGTATTATTACTTCAATATATGTATTTACATCCATACTTTTCATAACATGGATGATTTAATCTCCATCAATAGCTTGACTTTTATTCCAAGTTCAATATATCCAAATGGACTTATAATATAAAGAAGCAATAGTAATGTTATTCTTCTCACTACTTAGATTTAATATCAATTTTGTAAAAGGCAGAGTAAATTTGACTATTTTATCATTATTGATAAAAGAATGGAATTTGAATTTCTCATCAGGTTGGTTTGACATCAGCGTCTGGATTTTTGTCTGATAGATGGAATATCCCCAACACGTTTGGATGCTATGACCACAGACATTATCTGTTACGACTTAATGTTGACAACTTGGACTGTTAATGGAAACTAATTGTTTAATTTCAGTTCTATTGTAATGTTTGTTTTATAGATAGGTAGATATGATCCTAATACAAATCATAAGAACTGTTTAAATTATGGAGTAAAAATATTGTAAAAAAATTATTTTATAGTGATTAGGAAAAATAAAAATAGTTCAAATGTTTATTTTCATAATTTAAAGAACAACTTCAATTTACATACAAAATATACAGCCTGAGGTTATGGTTAAAAATCAGTACTTATAACAGAGTAATGTCATACTGAAAATTGTGTAATCTTTGTCATTAAAAGCTTGAGATAATTAAGTTTAAGTTTTTGTGAAGCCATAAATGGAACTATTTTCTCACAAAATTCATACTTGTATTAGGTTTTCCCATGCAACATATGTTAGGTTTAGTGCTAGAGAGAAAACATCATTTTCATCAAATTGCTAAATTTCAAATAAGAAGGCATTTGTAATGGTGGATGTTAAATCATATTATTTAACTTTGTGGCACTAGATACTTCTTAGTCCTTACAAACTGTTTTAACTACTACATTAAAGCAGAAAAACTAGTGATTAGATAACAATCAACTGGCAAAACCAAGTTCTTGTCCTGTGTCATGGCCACTATGGGTGTGTGAAAAAAAAATGAAATGCTGTATCATAGAAAGTATTGGCTACAAGATTTTGGTCCAGGTAATTTTGACAATAAAAATTAAAAAGATAAACAAGAGGAAATGCATACTGTATAATGTAGAAATGGAAAGAAACCACCAAATTGTGTATGGTCAGTACATAATGGTCAGATAGTTAAAATCTTAGTGATAAGTACTGTCTAATGTTAAACCTGACCTGAGGATCATAATAATTTACAAAATAATAATGGAATTTCAATCCTTATGGCATGCAGATTTAATGATAAAAGTATGTGTAAAAACCAAAATGATTACATTCAAAAGTTGATGAACATAGTGCACAATTCATACCTTATGTTAGTTTTTATAACATCACTGAGTCCCAAAGCAAGAACATGTTACTTTACAGTGTTAAAGGTGAATATCATGAATATTGTAATTTTCACGTGTTACTAGTTTAAGTTAAATTTTTATATCATATGAATCTTCATATTAGAAACTTGAATTTGACTTTGATCTATTTTGAGTTAAAGTTTAAAGTTCAGCAATAAAACCTCAAATTGTAGGGTTTTAATTTTTATTAGTTAAAAGTCATATACAAAACACACGTGTTGAACATAAGAATGATGTATTACCAACACAAAGTTGATATACCAAGCTTACAGTACACTATACAAAGATACATTTACCATATACTCTCAATATAAGCTGCATGATTATTTTTTTATATAAGAACCTCATATTACATATATAAATGCAACACATTTCTTTCATGTCAAATATGTCGATATAAACATAATGGAATCAAGAATATATGCATATTACAAGTTCAACATAAATACCTTATGAATCACATACATATATGTTGTGTTATGAAAGAGTCCATTTTCACATACATAGTATGCAACTTTTTTTAAACATTACATGTACATTTGATTTGTATGGGACACCAATTATGTTTTATCTCTAAAATGCTGTATTTAAATATACAATATTTGAAAGATGAAACGAGGAGGCTCATAACAGTAATTGACAAAATAAATTATATTATTATTTATTATTATTAGTTTGAAAACTGTCAAATTAAAATCTTCAGAGTTAATGAGTCCATCTATTAAAATAAATAATCAGAGAGTAATATGAAAAAAAAAAAAATTGTCTCTGCAAGTAGTACTACAGCTCTAAAAATTTTTGAAAAAGTACTATTTAATGTATTCTTCTTTTCCAAAAATATTTTACAAGTTAAGAGAATTTTATTTCTCTAACAGGATTATTTGTTTAGAAAATGAATTCTGTTGCCAATAGTTAAGGCTGGCACTTTGCAAAAGTTTAAAAATGGAATAGATAATTTCCATAAAATGAAGGGTAGGTTTTAATTTACTTTTTCTCAAGAATGAGTGTGCAAAGACAAAGTAGAAAAACAAATGGTCCTTTGTTTTCTGTATGTTATTTAGTTAAATGTGATATCATAAAAGAGAGCCAACATGGATTCACCAAAGAGAAATCCTGGCTTACTAATCTATTACTTGTTGTCTGGATGATGTTAGATGTAAACTTGGTGCACTTAGATTTTCAAAAGATGTTGGTAAGGTGCCACACAGAAGATCAATTAAGAAAATCACATTGGTAAGGTTTGGAAAACAATAGTTAATTGAACTGTAAAGTGGTTGGATCAAAAAATGGAAAAGCTCATTATTAATACAGTCCAATCATTCCAGACTCTCATTACTAGTACTGCCTCAGTGGTCAACTCTTGGGACTTGCTTTTTCTTATTTGCATTAATGATAATGATAGGTACATAATTAGTAAAATTTGCTAATAGTATTTCTAGCTGTGTTGAAGATATTGTGGTATTACAATGAAGCTTAAATCATTTTGCAAGCTATAATATATTTGGCATGTGACATTTAATCATAGTAAGTGCAAGGTAATGCATTTGGGTTATAATCTTGATCATACCTTTACTATAGAAGGGAACTCATTCAATAGTTTGACTCAAGAAAATGATCTTGGCACAGTGATTGTTTGTTTGTTTGTTTTATGAATTTCGCGCAAAGCTACACAAGGGCTATCTGCACTAGCCATCCCTAATTTAGCAGTGTAAGACTAGAGGGAAGGCAGCTAGTCATCACCACCCACTGCCAACTCTTGGGCTACTCTTTTACCAACTAATAGTGCGATTGACCGTCACATTATAACACCCCCATGGCTGAAAGGGCGAGCATGTTTAGTGTGATGGGGATGGCACAGTGTTAAAAAGGCTACCAACAACAGAGCACTGTCTTGATGGCTTGAGTGAAAAGCTAATAGAATTTTAAGGTGTTTTTTTTAAAGACATGTTGAATACAAGTCATAAGAGGTAATTATTTCTCTATACAACTGACTAGTTAGGTCTCACTTGTAATACTATGTACAAGTTTGATCTCCTTATCTAAGAAAGGATACTGACTTATTATAAAGGGTTCAAAAGAGGTTTACTAGTGATTCCTGGATGTGTTATCTTATGGGATAAGTTGAGATTTCTTAACTTATTTATATTTGAGAAAAAAGGTAAGAGGATATCTTATTGAAGTTTACAATATTATCCTGGGAATGAATTGGATAAAACCCTCTGATTTCTTGTGCTATATTCTGAAGACAATAGGATAAGAGGACATAAGATTAAGGTTTAGAAAAGACAAGCTAAGCTCTAGTTAAGACAGTTTTACTTTTAACAGGATGATATGCTTATGAAATAAACTGCCATCAAAAGCAGTGGTGACCAGCACTTTGCAAAAGTTTAAGGGGAAGTTTATGATTTCCTGAGAAATTAAAGGTGAGAGTGTGTGTAAGAAAAGCCTTGAATGACCAACTGGTCTCTTGTTTTGTATATACTGTTACATTAAAACTACCCATACCTATCAGGGTGATTAGGAGACCACAAAATATCCACTTTCACTCCTGTCATATTAAGATCAAATTCTTCTGTACTTCTCACCTGTTCAATTCACTGAAATAAACAAAAATAAATATTTTTGTTACTAACAGCACTAAAGTACCACAATGTAAACATACCTAAACCAGTCACATAATGATTATTTTATAATCTGATCTAAAAATGTACTTTTTATTAAGTGATAAAATAAATTATATAGAAAACTATGGTATAAGTGTATGCATCTT